TTGCCGGCACGCGCGTCTTCTGGAGATGTTCCCTCAACGGCCTCGCCGACCCAGATTGTGGCATTACGGATGAGCGTCGGGCGCTGACCGTCGACAAAACGAGCATTCTTCTCTCGACCGAGACCAATTGGATCCTGTGGCTTGTGTCGCAATTTCGCACAGGTCGCCAAGTCCTGCTGCAAACGCTCCGCGGAGAGTGAGGAGGATGGCTCGCGGGAAGGCAGTATTGAGATCTGTTTCCACTGAGCAAAGGCAATGAACGCCAGACATCCCACAATGAGCTTCATGCTGCGTCTGGGTCGTAGCCATCGTTTGTGGTGATGAGAGTGCCGGGGGCCCGAGGGCGGCGGGAGGTCCGCGGCGCTGTACGGCGGCAACATGCCGTTCTTTTCCGAATCCATGACAACAACACCTAACGTTTTGGTGTTGGTTGAAGCAAAAAAGATCAAGTGGCAGACGTTGAAAAGTTCTAGGAGCAAGGGATATGTTATATTGGCCCCAAAGCCCCGAGGATTGGGTTCCTTGGGAGAGGCCTTGGCCCAATCAAGAAGGTGACTGACGGTTCGGCTGGATTATCGGCCGACGTTTCAAACCCAGAGCGCAGACATCGCCGAAGACAACGAGCTTTGGGAGTATCTGGAGGGGCACACGGGGAAGTGATCGCTTCTCTTCGGTCGCGACTTCGGCAACGTGAGTGGTCAATGACATGGATGATGGTGAGAGCGTGGAGCCGAATGAGGAGCTCACCCCTGCCAGAGCTTGCGTGATTACGTAGCTGAAGAGATAAGCTTCTGCTGACTTATGAGCTCTCGAAGCATTCACGACCTTGAAGAATGATGACTAATCTGGAGGGCCTTTGGCTTTCTTATCTTATCTTCTCATACTCTTATCGATTGCCGGCATGTCAGGTCCGATTGCGGGGTACCATATCCGTATCTTTAGAATCATGCACAGTCACCACTACCTTACCTTGCCATGTAGGCAGGGAGGCATTCACTCCCCATCATCTGCTTCAATTTCAACTAGAGTCTTTCTAGTCCACCACTACTGGCAGTGAGATGTTTTGCCTGATAATCATGTTCTGGCTCTGCTTGGTGAGGCTCTCTTAACTACTTGATTGTGTGGAGACATGCCATAAGCGATCCTAGTACTCAATGACATGAGAATGTGAAGCTAGCTGCGTTACCTAGTCACCATCGTGTCTCTTTGAGACCTCTCAAGGTGATTCCGTCGGTTCGCGAACTAAGTAAAGATATGTGAGGAGGGATCTTGATGTTGCGTGCGCTACAGCCAGGGAAATGACCCCTCTCCGAAAACTACATATGGCTGGGGAAGGAAGGTCGAGCCGATGGTTGAAGCATTGCGATGCTCAGGTTCTATTACGTACAATTTGATCAAAAACCTGACATCGCGACACTACAGCCCGACATCATCAGATCCATTGGAGTCGTCTTGTGGGGTGGTAAGCCAAGGCGTTTGCGGGGAAGCATCGGAGTCAAGTCAACATTCCAGGCAAGGCGTTTGCGGGGAAGCATCGGAGTCAAGTCAACATTCCAGGCGGGAGATCTGCTGCGTAGTAGAATGCCACGCTATGTGCTTGATACGCTATTTACGCTGGGTCCGATGCATGCATGCAGAAGGTTGGAGAACACGGCATGCGTTGAAAGGTAGGGTCTCTTTTCACTGCCCAAATGAGGTGCATCTCATTGGCCCAGCCAATCGAGGCCAGATGATTGCCGGTGGTCTCAATCTATTGCCCAAAAGAGGTATCGTGGCTCTGGGGCGGGATCCCACGATTCGGAAAGTCTACCCTGTACTAGCGGAGACTTAATGTGTCCGGCTGTCTGGGCCGATAACGGTCTCCTCTTGGCTCCTCGACTTGTATCAGGGATCCTCGCCGTATAAGTTGGCTGTTATCCTGAGTCACGTCAAGAGTTCGGTTCTGCGCTGAAACGATTCAACTCATCCCATCTTCTTATAGTCACTTTAAACATCTTGTCTTGCCTTCTAGACTTTACATCTCACATTATTCCCAAACGCCGATATGTTCCTCCTCTCGGCTTTGGCTGTAGCTGTAGTGCTATTCTCCGCATGGAGATGGAAGTGGCGATATGCCACAAAGGTATGCCCCCTTATCTTTTAAGAATCCCACGGAGACGTCTGACTGTGTAAAGGAAAAGCTCGTCGGGACTAGCTCACAGGAGAAATCAGACGAAAAGACCGACATAACGCCTCTGAAAGATTTTGACTGGCAGAACATCGACCCTGCTAAGCACCGGCCATTCAAGCCGGTCTATCACATCACCATGGGTACCACGAACCTCGCACATGAATCTTGTTTGCATTCTAACGGATTGTTACAATAGCCATCCAAGCAAGCCCGCCTGAAGACCTCATCATTATAGACAACAACTACCTTGATCGAGTGACCGAACGTCGTCAACTTTTGGAAGAGCATACGTCAACGGTAGCGGGTGCTGTGCCAGAAGGCCTACCTGCTCTCCATGAGGTCTGGACTTATATGCTCTCAGAGTATCTGCCGAAGCGATACCCAACCATGTTCTCCTTGTCCGAGGACAAGACTGAGTTCCATAACCACGTTACCAAGACATCACTGCCCCTCGCGACGCCGGAGGACCCCGTGGCTGCCCTAAAAGCTCTTGGAGAGACCGTCGAAGACGACATATTCTTGCTCGTTGAGACGCCAGAGGGCCATCGTTGCGTGGCGTTCGTTTGCTGCCATCCTGCTGGATTCGACCCGTCCAATAAGCTCGGGAAGCTGATGAAGGACATTCACACCCCGGTGCCGTCATATGAGAAGATTGGTGCAAGCATGGAGCGTTTCTTCTCTCGATTACAGGTTGGGAAGAGCGTCAAGCGGATGAACGTGAGCTTGCTTGTTCTTGGATACGGAGGCCTTCCGCTGATGAATTGATATAGTGGTCTGTTTCGACGCATGAGAACCTCTTTAGCCCGAGCAACTTGCACATCTACGAAGGCGACAAGACAGAAGAGGACGAGGATGTCGATATTTCAAAGGTGAGATGGCTTTCCTGAACACTCAATGTACCATTCACCAGGAAGCTCATACCCCCCACTCAGGCTCGTTTGCGCCAAGAACTACAAACCTTGACCAGACTTCCCAAGACGGGAGCGATCATGTTCTCATTCAAGACGTATCTCACGCCCATAGAAGAGGTGAAGAAGGAGGGATGCGGGCTCATACTTGCGGACGCCATAGAAGGGTTGAAGACGGGTAATGCGCCTGGCATGTGGGTATACAAGGGGGCATCGCGTTGGGGCAAAAGTGTTTGTGAGTACCTCAGGTCGTGAAAGAGGCAGGACAATAGAAGAAGAAGAAGCGGGTTTTTGGTAGATTAGCCAGGAATGTAGGATGGACTGTTGTAGTTATCTGGAGAACAGAAATAATGAATCAATCCAACGGTTGCTGCCCTTTCTCGACCTGACATAGCTGTCCTCTCTCCATGATGATGATTGTTGTCTTGCGTGTCTCATCTATCTTGATCAGGGCTGATCTGAAGTCCTACTCAGAAAGTCGGGGCGGCTTGCGTGCAGTCCACAGTCTCGGGCCCGGGTATGCATGCCTATCCCGGGAGATCTCCCGCCTTATTCGCACTTCTTAACATCTAATCCTAATAAGCAGTGTATCTGTACCCTTGTGTCCTATTACATACTCAAGGTGAATTAAGGTGAGCGATAGCCGAAAAGAAGAAGGTTATTTCGGATATAATACATCGAGTCACGTCATTGGAAGGCTTTCCTACCGCCACGCCGTCGCCCACAACCCGACGGTGGCAGCCGATGAAGGCGGTAAAAAGGCTTGCAGTTTGACAGGCGGGCGGTGGCTTTCTCAAATTGAGTTTTTTGGGATGAACTTGGGTGCTTGGATATTGGCAATTGTACTCCGTATACTGCGGCGAAGGCCCAAAGAAGGGTATTCCCGGTTGTGCCGAAAAGGGGCGCTTGCGGCTTGCTTGTTTGGAGACGGCCCCGATCCGGCCTAGCGGACCCACCCCGAGCCCCGTGTGCAAATTTCCCACCAGCAGAAGCTTCGCACCTTGGGGCCCTGGGCGGCTCTCTCTCGACTACAACGTGCGTTCTCCCAGTCTTGTAGCACCCCCTGCATCGTCATCCATACAAGATGCAAACGAGATGTGGGCTCGACTTCATTAATATCAAGCGCCCACTCAACGCCCTGTTCATTTCTCTCTGGCTGTGTTGGTCCGCTTCTCCCACCCGAGCCCAGGCCCTGGCCTTTCCATGACTCCTTTCGCTGCGGGATCCTGCACTTTCTGCTTCTTTGCTCCTAGCCAAAGTTGCTACTGTGTCTGAGGCATACCTTGCCTTGCCTTGCCGCCGCAACCTGGGACCTGCAGGCCGCACACGTACGGATAAGGCGTGGCCTCATCAACCATGGCCTCACCTGAAGCCAGGGACAACTCCGCAATCTAATCCCGCTGACTGCGTACAGAGTACGTAGTAGTGCGTACAGGCCTGATTCGCTTGACAGAGGCTAGCAAGATGCATCCGCTGAACCGGGAAACCTTGCCGTGAAACAAAGTGCTTCTGCAAGGCCCATTTCCCCAAAGGAGCCTTCTACTCTATTCCTCGCAGCTAAACCTGCGGGGTCATCTCCTTTCCAGGAACCACGGAGCGAGGATGGAATTGAATCTTCATCCCAAGGGGCCAAGTCCAGGAAGCCAAGGGGGGCCTACATAAAGGAGCTGGTCTGCCAACGCGTGACGCCGTGTCTCGTTTCGTTTGAGCTTAGCTACATTCTCTATCGTACATTGAACTTCCTCAAGCAAGGCCAAGGCATCGATTGCTGCGACCTGCGTCCTCTCTTTCTTTTCGAAACATTCCATTCGCTCAAAACCCTTGAACTCAAGCTTTCTCCAAGCCGCCCGGTCGGTTTAGGCATATACACGCTCACTTACACCCAAAACTCCCCAAGCCAACCACACTACCCACCCGCAAAAATGAAGTTCACATGGAGCATCGCCAGCGCGGCTCTGCTGGCCACCCGCGCCCAGTGTGAGATCCTTTGGGATGGTCGCTTCAACGACATGACCTCTGCCACTGACCTCGACAAGTGGTCCTGGAGCAGCCAGGTCGGTCCCTACCAGTACTACATCCACGGTTCCGGCGCCACCACCGACTACGTCAACCTCTCTTCCGACTTCAAGAACCCGGCCGACACGGGCTCCAAGCAGGGTGCCAAGATCTCCCTGACCAGCACCTCCTTCTGGAACGGCCAGACCATGCGCCGTACCGAGCTGATCCCCCAGACCACCGCCGCCATCGGCAAGGGCAAGCTCTTCTACCACTTCTCCCTGAAGCGCAGCGACACCAACGCCCCTTCCCTCAACAAGGAGCACCAGATCGCCTTCTTCGAGAGCCACTTTGTCGAGATGAAGTCTGGCTGGCAGAGCGGCGCCACCGGCACCGAGGACCCCCTCCTCCGCTGGGTCGTCGGCGGCAAGACCGAGTGGAGCGTCAACTGGGACGCTGACGTCTGGCACAACGTTGCCTACGAGATCGACTTTGACGGCGGCTCCGTCGGCTTCTGGCACTCCACCGGCGCCGAGGCCCTGACCCAGGTCGTCGCCCCCGTCACTGCCTCCGCCTCCAGCAACGGTGCCGACTGGCACGTCGGTGTCCTCGAGCTCCCCCGTGACGGCTACGCCGACGAGACCGAGGACTTCTACTTCTCCGGCGTCTACATTGAGGACGGCGAGATCACCAAGGCTGTCGGCTCCGGATCTTCCGACACCGGCTCCTCCGCCCCTGCTTCCTCTGCTGCCCCCGCCGCCACCTCGGCCCCCGCCGCCGCCTCCTCCTCTGCTCCCGCTGCTGCCGCCCCTACCACTGCGGCTCCTACCACCACCGCCGTCCCTACCACCAGCGCTGCCCCCGTCTCCTCCGCCGCTCCCGTCGAGTCTGAGCCCGCTTCCTCCTCTGCTCCCGTCGCCACCCCCGTTTCCTCTGCCGCTCCCGTTGTCTCTGAGGAGCCCTCCGCCCCCGCTGCCACTACCCCGGCTGCTGCCACCACGAGCTCTGCTCCCGCTGCCTCTGCCAGCGCCAAGCCCGCGTGCCGTCGCCGCCGCCGCCGCAACCACGCCAAGCGCAACTAAGCGTTTCCGCTGTTGATTGGGGCTTGAGGAGAATGAACGCTGCTTGTGTGTCCCTTTGGACTCCGAGGCGAGGATAAGACCACTTCTGATGTACATATCATTTTTGCATATAAGACTTGTCACTGTGCCTATTGGACTTAGTTTTGAATATATTCTTCAGTGTACGATACCAAACCTGCCCGCTCTTTTGATGTCTGAAATGTGCTAGAGAACTAGTGACTCACCGCTTGACGACTCCCTGCCTATGTTGTATTGCTGGATTTGCCTCTAGTAGCAAGTGGTGAACGGCGAGATTTGGCAGATTTTTGGACCTTCCTAGGTGACTGCACATGCTCGTACACTAGAGATACTTTGCTACCTGCTCTTCAGTCCATTTCCAAAAGTCTTCGGCGAGGCCTGTACCGCCCTCTTCGCGGGACTTGGAGCCCTGGACAAGGTCATCCCGAATGGCATAAAAACGACCCCAAGGAACAACTGTAGGACATCTGATTAGCAACTCGATAAAAGTCAGCAGACAAGGTCTCACGCACCCCAATCGCCCGTCTTCTCAATGGTCACATCGGGAGATAACGCCGCAAATAATTCCGTGTAAGCGCCATTAATGGCAGGATATGTGGTGGCTTTTCTGAACAACGTCGGGATCAGCGCCGTGATGTGGCGATCCAGCTCTGATGACAGGTTTCCTGGATTCAAGGCCTTTGGACAGTTAGTTGTCCATTTCACATGCTCTTGACCGAAATTTTGCCAAGACTTACTAGACTGATGACGCCGTCGGCTTTGTGTCGCTTGGCGAACTCGGTAGAGTGGAAATAGTTGCCTGCCTTGCTGATGCCGTACTTGAACTCCTTGATTCTATCTCTGCTGTAGTCGAGGTTATCGATCTCGATGGCAGGGTTGGGCGACAAGACCTCCGCGGCTGAGCTGGAGACCCAAACAACACGACAACTGTCTTTGGGTGCTGTCTTGGCCGTTTGCACCAGAGTCGGCGTCAGCAACTTGGTGAAGAGGAACGGGCCCACACAATTTGTTCCCAGCTGCAATTCGTACCCCTGGGCTGTCTTGCTCCCCTGAGGCGGCATCATGACGCCGGCATTGTTGATGAGGAGATGCAGTTGCGTCTCCTTGGCGAGGAAGGCCTCGGCTGCGGGTTTGATGGTAGTGAGATCAGCCAGATCCAGAGTGAGGAGATCCAGCTTTCCTGTGGAGTTAGGTACCACCTCCTTGATAGCGTTGATGGCTGAACGGCCCTTTTCTTCCGAGCGAGAGGTAGCGTAGACGGTGGCGTTCTTGGAGTACAGAATTTGTGCGACTTCCTTGCCAACACCAGTGTTTGCTCCTGTAACGATGCAGATCTGCGACGTGTAAGTATCAAGCGAGTCATGATGATGGTGTTACGTGAGATACTTACTCTGCCAGAGAGATCGGGAATATCCTTCTCGGTGAATTGCGGCCGCGGCGGAAAGGCCTGGGTGAAGATGCTGAAAGGGTTGAGCATTCTGGCTTGTCTCCCTTACAGCAATCTCGAAGCAGGAAGAGCCGGAGGAACCTAAACGATGCAGGACAGAAGTAGCGAGTGTAATAAGAAAATGGAAATAAGTCAAGGGCGATCAGAGAGACCGACGTCACCAATTCATAGACACAAGCGCAATAGATAGACTGATAGTCTGCAGAAGGTGATCAAGTTGTGACCGCCGGAGACTTCATTGGCCCGAAGCTAATTTGGAATGGTGGAGTGCGCCTTTGCCGATTTGGGAACCGCACCAGACCTCACCGAGACTTCAACGAGCCTTTGATTGGCTATCACACCGAGAAAGAATCCCACCGGCCAGACAAGGTGCTGACACGCGATCGAAGTCGATATAAGACATACTCAATGCTTAGCAAGGCAGTTTGAGGATACTCTCTATAGGCACTTGAACTTATTTTGCCATATGGTGGTTATCTTACTTGAATATGAAGAATGATCTACCCGATTTGCTTACTAAGTAGACAGATGTACAGTGACAATGAGATAAGACTGGGTGAAACCTCCAGAGGCGCCTTCCCCGGCCGTGCAAGCCGAGCCACGTGATGCTTGTCAGGCGACCGGTGTGGGGTGGGGCTGCCGAAGGAACATCAGCCGGGAGTCAATTCGGCAATGTGATTGGCACGGCGTCGGGGTCTGGAACTGATGGCAGCACGAGCCAACGTCTAATGCACAACTGCAAGACAAGAACCCAAAGACCACTTTTTTTTCTGTCTATCCTTTCAGCCACACATAACCCGCACTTGGGCTTTCTATTCGTCGGCGTTGTTTTGGTTGCTGAGGTATCTCATTCTCCCCTGCTGCGGATACCTTTACCTTACCTCACCTTACGGAGTTCCCGTACTACGTACAGATACACTCCCATAGTACCAACAGGCTACCCGGTCTTCAGAACAGACCACACGCTAAGGTGCCGACCGAACAAGAACCAAACATCGGAAAGTGTGAGCCTCACCTTTTCTTGCCCGGGCCACAGATCGCACCACACACTGCACACTGCACCGACACCGCATATCCGTCGCATCTGGCCGTTTGGGACAAAACCTCGCCGGTCCATTCTCACACCCCCAGATCAACTTCCACCTCTTCCCGCGACACGTTATCTCCATCAGGTGCATCACCTCTCTTTCGCGACTCCCGCCTTGGCAGCCACGCCCCACCAAGAGATCGTCCTCTCTTCAGCCTTGTGCGTGTGTGTGTGCCGGCACGTTGATGCACTCCGCCGCGATATAAAGAAGCCCAGAGGCGTGGATCGTGCTGTCCCACTTGGCACCTTCGATTTGAATTCGAATTCGAATTCTCATACCCCTCGCGCCTTCTCACTGATGCCAAGCTGAGGTACGGATCGTCAAAGACATGCTCTGATTCGAGGCCAACCAAACAATCCACCTACCAACTCTCTTCTTGCCGATCCCTCAGCTTCTTCCACAGTCGACCGGCCAGCTGCGTCTCCAAGTGCTTCGCAATATTCTCTCGCGCGACAACTCCAACCGACCGTGCACCTGCAACTATCGGCCGCTCCGGATCGCATATCGACACATCTACAAAATACTACTCCAGGAACACCATACACTCTGGCAGCAACATGTCTCTTCCCCGTACGTTCCTGCGCCCTAGGTCTTGTTGCCTGCAACGCTGTCGCTAAACTGATTTATGCAGTGAGCTCTGAAGATGAGGATAACTACACCGCCATCATAGATGGCATCCTTGCGACCGCGGACTTGACGACCATCACTCGCAAGAAGATCCGTTTGGGCCTGGAGAAAGCTCTTGGCGGGAAGGACCTGACTGCTCAGAAGGTAATTATATGCCCTGTAATCCCACAGCCAGCTGCAGACATGCACCTACCAATAACCTGGGTTAAAGCTAACACAAATGCTTGCAGGATGCCATCAAGGCGCTGATAGAAGAGCGCTTCGACGCCATCTCGGGCTCCAACGACGCAGCCCCCGACTCGTACTCCGCAAGTCCCGCCCCGAAGCGCGAAGCCAACGGCCACGACGATGATATTGATGGCGAGATTGAGGTGTCCGTCGCGCCTGTCCGGAAGAGGCAGAAGCGCGAGGACTCGTCTGAAGACGCCGACGCCAAGCTCGCTGCCAAGCTACAAGCTCAGGAAAACCAAATGGCAAGAGGAAGGACAACTCGCGGCGGCAATGGCGCAAGCAGTAAGGGTAGCAAAGCGGCCAAGAAGAAGAAGGCGCCCCGCAAGAAGAGCGACAAGAAGATTGACGACAGCGACGTCGAGGACAGCGGCGAAGCGCCGAAACGCAAGGCTGGTGGTGGATTCCAAAAGCCCTTCAACTTGAGTGAGCCGTTGTCAGAGTTGCTTGGCGAACCTCAGGTAGGATTCCACGGGATGACATGCTGTCTGACAACAATATGCTAACTTTTTTGCCCTAGCTCTCTCGCCCACAGGTTGTCAAGAAGCTCTGGGAACACATCAAGGGCAACGACCTACAGGATCCGGAAAACAAGAGACAAATCATTTGCGACGACAAGATGCACGCCATTTTCAAGCAATCCAAGGTGGATATGTTCCAAATGAACAAGATGATCGGGGCCCATCTTTACCCGGTCGAAGAGCAGTGAGAGCATACTTAGGGAGGGACGTGGTCCAAGGATGAAAATAACACGGACAAGCGGTGCGATTTAAAGCAATGGCGTCTTTCTGGTTTGGGACGGGCAATCAGAACTTTCCGGGCGGTTTGGTTGGGCATCCGGGTACAGGCAGCAAATGGATGGCGAATCGCGAAGTGCCTTATCGTGTGGTCGTTGGAGGAGGATATCAGTAGAGGGTGGGTTCGTTGTCGACATGGCATCTTTACATACGTAGTATCTGGCCATGCCGGCTGTTGCAGCCACAGCTGCGACTGCAGGCTTTACGCTACCTGAGGTAGAGAATCTGGGCTAGCTCGGCCTTTGGAATCGGTCGAGACTAGTCTCGATTGAAATACACTCTATTAAGATACTGGTTTAGTCCTCTGCCGCTCCAGTGACGCAACATAAGGTATTTTGGGGGTCAAGATGCAAGGCCACAGGCATCAAATGAGAGAGAAATTGGCACCGCGCAACAATGCTTCAGCTACAGCACAGAAACGATGATTACAGATGAGTCATTTTGTATGCAACTCAGATTGGGGTAGCTGAGGTAAGGCAGAGTTCGATTTCAAATCGAGATATCTGGCATGTATTGAGAAAGACTTGAACGCCTCTCGCACCGCCTCGATGAGTCGAGTGCAAAGCCACAAACGTGTACTGGAACCGGCTGGTGACTCCGCGAAGCTCAGCTGTCAGCTCGTGGTTAGTCTGTTGCTGTGTTATGTAAGCCGTGAAGCTTCTTCAGATGGCGGTATGGTGGCATGGCGGTATGGCGGTTGCAGGGGTGAATGACGCACACCGAGAGCACGGAGAAACCCCGGTCGGCGGTCGCTTGCCAGAATGGAAGTTAGCACCCTCAGTGGCAGCAGCTGCCACCTCAACGAGCAATAGAAGGGGACTTTTTTGCTGGACCCCGCCATGAGTTCCCTCCACCCACCAATGCCAGAGCCAATCCAGCCCACTCGCGGTTCCCTTGGGAGCCACACATAATCATTAATTTCGACGTACATCGTCTCGCAGCGCCCGATTAAAAGTACCGGGTTGCCCGTCTGTATCCCGCCCTTTTACGCCTTTTCCTATTCTCTTACCAATTTACGCTACCTCTTCAAGTTACTGCACGCAATCTGGAACGAGCTGTTCAGTTGCAGCTACACCGGCCCTTAACCAAGCTCAAGTGGAGGATCAATTTCGCGCATCCAAGAAAGGCACTGCCAGTGTAAGACCGTTGGTCTCGACAGGATTGTCCAGCCGACTCGACAGTCTCATTGTCTACGAGAAAGACGACTCTCCCGATGGCCGATACTCAGGCTGCCGGCGGCGACTCGAACCCTTCGAGGGGTAATCGCAACCGTGGAAGAGGTCGCGGCGGCGGTGGTGGAGGTGGAGGAGGAGCCAACGCTGGAACCCGCGGACGAGGAAGAGGAGGACGTGGTAGAGGCGGTAATAACGCTGCTGCGTCAACTCAGCCAGACACCTCGAGCGCATCCCAGGCCCCCGTCACCAAAGCCGATAACAAGGTGCTTACACGTACGGCTGCAGCGGACGATGATACCGCGAGCAGCGACGGAGAGGTGTGCTTCATTTGCGCAGAGCCCATCAAGTTCCACTCGATTGCACCATGCAACCACAAGACCTGCCACATCTGTGGTTTACGCATGAGAGCCCTGTACAAGACCAAGGACTGTCCTCATTGTCGAGTAAGTCTTACTTCCACCTGCGCGCCATTGATACGCCGAGACTAACTTCAAGTAAGACTGCTTCTCCCTTTGTCGTTTTCACGGACGATGCGAACAAGCGATACGAGGACTATACCGACGCCGACATCACGAGCTTCGACAGCAACATTGGCATCCGATATACCAATGAGGAAATTGTCGGCGACACTGTCGTGCTCCTACGATACAACTGCCCCGCGGAAGACTGTGTCTTCGCCGGATTAGGCTGGCCAGATCTTCATAGACACGTCCGGTCGACGCATCACATGAAGATGTGCGACCTGTGTACCAGAAACAAGAAGGTTTTTACCCACGAGCATGAACTCTTTGCGGACAAGGAGCTCGAGAAGCATATGAGGCACGGAGACGACAGGCCAGGTGCCATTGACCAGACGGGCTTTAAGGGACACCCCCTATGCGGTTTCTGTGGATCGCGCTTCTACGACGATGATAAGCTCTTTGATCACTGCCGCGAAAAGCACGAAAGATGTTTCATCTGCGACCGGAGAGACTCGAGACACCCCCACTACTTTGTCAACTACAATGCCTTGGAGAAGCACTTTGAAAAAGACCATTTCCCTTGTCTGGACAAGGAATGTCTAGAGAAGAAATTCGTCGTCTTCGAGTCGGAAATGGACTTGAAGGCGCATCAACTGGAAGAGCATGCCAACTCTCTGTCCAAGGATGTGCGGAGAGATGCTAGGGTAGTCAACATGTCAGGCTTCGACTACAGATCGACATACGAGACTGAGAGACGTGGAGGAGGTGGCGGCGGTAGAAGCGGCGGCGGCGGCGGCGGTGGTGATGGCCCCTCCAGCGGACGCCAAGGCCGTGGCCGTGGCCGGGACCCCAATGCCGAACCCATACCTCATAGCTCTGCGCAACCACTCCGTCGGGATGAGCTTGCCTTCCAAAGACAAATGGCAATCCACTCGGCACAGTCAGTTTCTAACCGTACCTTTGGCGGTTCGCTCTCCCAGCCAGCGAGCACGACACCTGCTTCCTCATCTCGCCGAGGTAATGGTGCGCCGGCGCCTGGAGGTTCATCACGTCAAGCCCCTGCAGCTGCAGCCGCACCTGCGCCTGCGCTGCCTACAGCCGAGATGGAGCAGCTCAACGTGACTGACATTGCATCATTGCCTCCTCAGGAGAGAGCGGTGATGCTGCGCCACCAAGGCGTCGTTGAGCGCGCTTCAAACCTGCTTGGCCACAACCAGTCCAAGATGAAGGAGTTCCGCGATTACATTTCAAATTTCCGAAAAGGAAGCTTGACCGCCCCTCAACTGGTCGATGCCTTCTTCTCGCTCTTCGCTGATACATCGTCAAACGCCTTGGGCACGTTGGTCCGTGAAGTGGCTGACCTATTCGAGGATAAGAGCAAGGTCGCGGCTCTGCACAAAGCGTGGCAGGACTGGAGAGCCATCAATGAAGACTACCCGTCTCTGCCTGGCTTGGGCGGTATGCACGGCGCGACGACGGCTTCAAGCGGCTGGGCTAGTGCAGCCTCGCCGTCTCCCACTGCGCCGGCTGCCGCGCCGAGCTCGAACCAGAAGCACTCTAACCGCGTGTTGAGGCTGAAGAACAGCACCCGAGCCGGCGCCTCGGGGCCTAAACCGGTGACCCCGGCCGCTTCGACGAACTGGGTTTCCACGTCGGGCTCCTCTCGCCCTCCAGCACCATCGGCCTTCCCTGCCCTCCCCGCGGCCTCGTCATCCAAGTCATCCGCACCACAGCCATCCTGGATCGGGCCGAACAACCCCTCCGCTTCGAGATCCTCGGGCTCCGCAGGACCCGTGCGCTCGACGCCCGCTGGTCGACCGCCACCATCATCTGCTTTCCCCGCGTTGCCTCCGGCACAGAAGCCTCTCACAACAATCTTTGGCTATGGATCGGGACGAGGTGTGCGGCGCGATCTGGGCGGCGCTGCCAGTAACTTCAGCTGGGGATCAGCCCCGGGAAGCGGAGCCGCGAGCGAGAATGTATCGGAGAGGGAAGACGAGGAAGCTGGTCAGAGCGCAGGTGGTAAGAAGAAGAAGGGCAAGAAGGTGCTTGTCCAGTGGGGTTAAGAAGCTGGGAGATGCCTCACAAGGGCGTTCTGAGATGGGGGTGATGAACGACACTGTTTGACGGTGTATCGAGCCTCGCAGCGCGTAGAAGACTGCTGAACACTTAAAGGCGTTGTTGGCCATACGTGGGCGGTCTGTAGTTTTCAGGAGGTATAAAGAAAAGAAGGAGTAACAAACAGACAGAGTAGACCAGAGAAGGAAAAAAACAGGTCTTCAATGAATAGAGCAAATGTGTGCGTGCCTACCTACCGCATGTACCTTGTAGATCGTCTTGACCACTGAGTGAGGACCCGGATAGACCTTGCGACACGACCTACCAGAGGTAATTTTCTCTCGTGTCTGTCTGTGCCAGTGCGAGCAGTGGATCTTGTACACATAACCTCGGGTTACGAAAAGTAGACTTCTTTTTGCAGTATGCTTATTACTGCAGCATTGGAATCAAAGATTATGAGTAGATATGAGGAGGCTCTCCAACATGTCTTACAATTTCACTAGCGGGGTTTAACAGGTCACGGAACAGTAGAACAAGTTTGAAGGCATGGCAAAAATCATTGACTTTTATATGTACCGACATCTCAAAGACCGGCTGGCTCATAGTACTCCCGGAACCGATCAGTACTATCCCATTCCACGGTCCACACCACGTTCCAACAATCCAGTAACAGTCTAGGAAACTTGACTGTCCAGAACGCCAAGTAACCTTCTGGCAAAGGACCAACCGCTCGCTTTAGCGCGTCGGGCATATCCTCGTAGTGGTTCTTCTTATTACGCAGAGCTCTCAACAGATCAAGCAGCTTGGACCCCGTGTATTTGCGCTGCTTGCCCAAAGAGTCCACAAAGTCTCGCGGCAGAAGCCGAAGGAAATCTCCCTTGGTGATCGCCGGAGCATGCTTCTCCAAATGAACAAGATGATCACTTGGTGGGTCTCTGGGTTCCTTCTCAAAGTGATCCGAGACGTCGCACAAGAAAGCAAGGCGCTTCTTGGCAGACCAGAAGAACGGATGAGCCATGACATCGCGAGCTGTAGGGCGCTCCTTCGGATTCGCGTTCAACATCGAGCCGATGAGATCCTTTGCCTCGTAGGCAAAATCGCCAAGAGCATCCAGTGGCGCCAAGTTGTAATTGCCCTTGCGGATGTTCACCTCCCTCATGTAGCGATCGCCACAGTCGAAAGGATGGGAACCATTCGTCAAGACATAGAAGAACACCAAGCCCAAGCTGAATATGTCAATGGAGCGGGTGGCACGACGGTTGGACATCATGTCGGAACCAACCAATATAGAGCCCGATCCACTCTGGATACTGGACTCCATGGTGGCAGTGTCCCTGGCGTCATCGTCGAGTAGCAGTTCAGGGGCTCGCCAGCCAGACGTTCCCGCAGCGCGGCCAGTAGTGGCACCAAAGGAGGACTGACCACCCTCTAGCTTTTTGCAGAGACCGAAATCGGATACAAGAAGGCGCGGTCGCCCATCCTTGCCCATGTTGACCAAAATGTTCTGTGGCTTGAGATCGCGGTGGACAATGCGAAGATTGTGTAGATGGTGGATGCCGTTAGTGATTTGGTACAAGACACCTGGCAAATCCATCTTGCCTGCTTGAGCTAGTCGGGTGAAGTGATGAGGCTTTTCAATGACATCAGCCAGAGAGGCTGCACAGCGCTCGAGAGCAATGTACAGGAACCCATCGCGTTGCTGTTGAGCGTAGTATCGAATGACTAGAATTATTTGTTAGATACTTTCTTGAAAGCAGCCATCTTTCCGTCTTACCATTGGGATGGTCGTCGCTCTCTCGCAGCAACTTTGTCTCCTGGGAGGCGATGTCGTAGAACTGGATAAGCATCCGCTTGACAGCCACTTCGCGACCATCGAATCGACCGGCAAAGACCAGGGTACCATTGCTACCTGTGCCGAGTTGGTTCTCGGTGTCAACTTCGATGCCGCCCATCTTGATGATCGATTCTCCCACAGTTTGCATGTCATTTGTCATGGTCATGACATCGGGCTCCAGACCAGTAGCCTGTACACCCAACTTCTTTGCCTTATTGACAGCTTCCTCAACGGAAGCGCGTGGCTCGTCATCGCGAGATTGAGACATTTCTTCTCTTTTCTTCCCCTTGCGGTGCTTCGTGCCTCCGCGACGGCCGCGGTGAGCTGGCTTCTTTTTCTTGACCTCAGGGGTGCCAGGTTCAGGGGGGGTGGCAGAAGTCTGGGTCTCGGCACCGGGAGCCGACGGGTCCGCGATAGGCGTCTTGTCGCCATCCTTCTCTTTCTCAGAGGCAGGCTCAACAGAGGGAACCACATCCTCGGATACTGGCTTCTTGTCGGAAACAGGCTCTTCTGGTACCAAAGGTGCGGTCGCCCGCTCAGGAGCGGATGGTGGGATCTCGTCATGTACCGTTTGCTCAGGAGTGGCATCGGCACCCATGTCCTCTGTATCGGAAGCGGCCTCGTCTCGCATATACCATTTTGTCGTCTTGGTCTTGTACCAACGACGTAGATCCTTCTGATAGTAAAACAGCACAGAAACAATGAGCACAATCAAGACAGGGTTGGAGAAAAAGTCGATAACACTGTTGGAAACGTGATGAGGAATCGACTTGACTTTGTTAACGATGGTGGGCGTCTCGACAGGATCATCGTGCGGCACAGTAGTGGGCAGCACTGGGTGACTTTCAGGGTCCACCACCGCATCAGACGCTTCTGCGCGTCCGGGTAGACTGGGAGGCTGATAGATCTTGCCCCGGATGACACCATCCATGTAGTGGGTTCCAACCATTGCGCCAACCCGCTGCGTCTCGTTCAGCTTGCCCCATGGCTGGGCAAGCTGCAGCCAGTCTGGCGACGAGGTCTTGGCTACGGGAGCATCCAAGATGAGAGGATAGGAGCGCCCAGACAAGGCGTACCAGTTGCCCATGTCTGTCTGGTTGACGAATATACGCTGACTTCGGATACGAGCGTTGTTGTCATCCTTGGCTGGTGGGACAGGCTGAGGAAGGACAATGAGGTCGGGGTTGCTCAACGGTTCCAGTCCCACGGGCCTGCAGACATCGAAGACCTTGACTACAGGCGAAGCAAACTGCGCGTTGCAGAAAATGGGCAGTTTGTCCTTGTGGGCATTGGCGTAATCAACACCATAAATCTTGCCATCGTGGGTGGTAGTGTGGTAGCGCTGGTCGATGGACTGGTGGTGTTGGTTAAGCAGGTCATAGTCGTTTGTGTTAGGAGTCCAGTCAAAAAATTTGAGTGTAGCTATCGGGCGACCGTCTCTGCGGGCAATGCCAACCTCGTACTCGGTACGACCAAGCGTGATTGTACCAGTCGAGCTACACTCTTCGTTATTCTGGTCGTACAGTGCATTCGGGCGCAGGCAGCTCTCTGCTTCGTTGACGTGTGAGCCGCCAGAGCCAAACCACTTGAGCACACGACCTGTAGCGGCATCGAGTGTAATCATGGTGGTCTTCTTGGTACCAGTATAGACGATTGGCGGATTGTCGAGGGCCGAGGCGCCCTCGTCGACCATCTGTTTCATGGTCAAGCCCGTGGATAGTAGTCTGGGCTCGGTGGAGCCAGCTGGAGACCAGTAGTAAATGTCTCCATCGCGGTTGGGCTCGATGGCCCAGATGTAGTGATCGATGTGGTTGTAGTCGTCGTCCAGGTCGGAGGCGTTGAGACGGTAATGTTTGGTCTCAACCATGGACTGGTCGACCTCGAGATGCCAGCGTTCGGTGGCGTGGTTGCGATCAGTGGCATAGAGGTGTCCATCGACGGTCGCCATAAGAACGAAGTCTTCTACTTCCCAATCCTTCAGACTCCGCGCATGGTGCTGCGTAGAGATCCCACCACCGCCAACGCGGGAGGCAATGGGTCGATGTCCAGAAGGAGGTGCTCGGACGGACTGAGCCGGAGCCAAAGTTGCGATGGCGCTCGCATCGTGAGGAATAAGTATGTTGTCGGGGTTGGACCGACGGTCGTGTTGTTGTTTGTTATTGGATTGGGATTGGGGTTGCTTCGAGGTTACGGAGTTTCGGCGCCTCGGAGACTCGACAGCATTGTCGGCCTTGATGTTGGTAGCGGCCCAGTTGCGGGCGGCGGCGTCGGGGAGGGCATCACGAACAGCTTCGTGTTGACTGCTTCCAGCAGGGGGTTGTTGTTGATGGACTCTATGTATCTGGGCTACCGGCTCGATGGGTTTTTGGTGTTGTTGAGCATCGGCGAGTGGGAGGCATGAGATGGCGAGTACAGCGAGAGCAAGGAGGTAGGTTCGCTGACGAGCAACGCGCCTCCCGTCGCCTGGAGGCCGTCGCAGCATGATCTGTGTGTGTTTTATGCGGAAGGGATTTACATCAACGCTTCCCAGTGTTGTTTACAGAGCAGGCGAGACATAGGAGCAGCTGAGGGCGTCGGAGAGGTCGTGTTCGAGGTGGTGGTGTTGATGGTCCGACGGCGGCAGAGGACCATGTGAATGTGGGTTGGGCTAGCGAAGTAAATCGGAGCCCACAACGACGAAAGAGTAGGTACACACACACACACACACACACACAGCAAGTGGGATGGATGCAGCTGTGGATGCGTCTGGGGTATCAGCCAAAGGTTTGTTGATGGATGGGAGAATTAGTTGGACGGAAGTGAAGATGAAGATGAAGATGAAGATGGAGTTGAAGGTGAAGGGAAGAAGGTGGTGGTTCGTTCGGGAAGAGGGAGCAGGAGCAGATGGTTTGAATGCTCTTGCTCACTTTCCCTCTTCTTTTTTTGACCCTGTCAGCTTTGGGTTTTTGGGGGGGGGGGGGGTGAAGTAAAGGTACACGCACGCGCACCGGGGGTAAACCAAGCATGGAAGTCACTTTGAGTCTCGAAGGTCGAGTCCATGGAGAGAGGAAGGAGGGAGGAAGTTGGGGTCTCTGTCAGCCAGCCCAGTGCCCATAGTCCGTACCCTGCCATGCCAATGAATGGGAAGTCAGAAAGACCCGGTCGAACTGGCGGCGGCAGGCGGGTTCTGGATGGAAGGCAAGGGAAGCTCTTGGGGGTGTTGCAAGTACACAGTGCAGTACAGAAACAGTTTGTGGGCGTCCGTCGTACGACCAGGGCAGCGCCCGGCTGACTGGGATCACCTTTGACCGAAAGGGGGGCCTTGGGGCCTTCGCAGGCTTGTGCAAGGCCAGGAGATGAGAGAGAGAGAGGAAACACCACGGGCTACGCGCACAGCAACGGGCAGACAAACCACTGAAGAGGCCATGTATACTGTGCTAGATACGATGAAGGGTTTTTGCACTGTTCAGCCCCGCCATTCCCGTCAAGCGAGCCCCACCCACCGACACATCTCGGCCACTCAGGGCTCGCAACTTCTCCCCCAGTTTCAAAAGGGAGGGGAAAGAGCGCACCACTGCACCACTGCCTGCACCTGCCATCACCAGCAGCACTTCTACGGAGTACGGGATACGTACATCCACCCAACTTCTCCTCCTCCTCCCGCTACGAATACTTCGTGGTAGACTCTCGCAACACCAGAACCACCCCTTGGAAGCCTCAAACCGTGGCAAACTGAAATCGCGGGGATTTCCCAAGTTTCCTAACCCAAACAGCATGATCTGCCAAACTCCATAACAACCGGTGGAAAAGCGGAACACCAGCTTGGCGATCAGGTTCGTCCAACAAACCTCCATACCTTAGTCTCTGTGCTACCGCCCCATCTACCAAGCAGACACGCAGGTAGCAGTGTGGCTTCGACCCTTCGACTACCTACCTCGATTCAGCCATCACCAATATTACCAATGCTACCATAACCTCCCGATATTCAACACTGAGAATTCAGGGTCTTCGTTAGGGCTCCGCGTCCCGAACCCTTGTGCCAGCCCCCCCTAGCCGCTCGCCCAGTCCGAATCGACATGGCTCTCAGGTCTTGACCCGAGTTGCCTAGTGGCCGGTGTCGCAATCCTGCAGTTGCCAGGCTTTCTGTTACAAGGTTTCGCCCGCTCGCTGCAAAGGGATGAGGTCAGCTCAGCACAGTGCACCGCTGGACCCCGTACGAATACACACTTCCTCACCAAGCGAAAATGCCCGCCGCCATCGAGTCCTCCACCGGGGAACTTCTGTGACGGGTTGCGAGCCTGCGAATGTGGCTGAACCTGCGTTCTTGAAGACAACGATCCACAAGACCCGACTGGACTGCGACCTCGACCCTCCACCGCTCCCGGGAGCTAGCTGCTGGCCTGCTGCTGTTCACTGTGCTGCATACGAGTAGCACTACGTACTACGTACACACGCACCACGCAGCACGGATACTCAAAGGCTAGGTCTACAGTGTACACGGCGCCAGGTGGTCCCGTCACTGTCTTCAGTGTCTTGGAGAGATCATGGCTGTCTGAGGTCAGTGGTGGGTTTTCCCCCCATTCGTTTCCATGGTTGGCTACCGAATCGGAACCTATCCAGCGCCGCCCTCAAGCCCGTCGAGCCCGTCGAGCAACGGATCACTCGCCGAGTCTGTCGATGCGGAGGACCATCGTGGATTCTTGATTGACGGAATCGCTGATCCAGCAGATCAGGTGTGTCAGACACAGTGTCCTCAAGGGATGCTTCTCTTTAGCACCGCCGCTATCTGATCGTCGTCATTCGACGCCGGCTGTTCCTGCAGCTTTGTCGTCACTGGTTGGCAAAATAGGAGCGGATGGAGGTGCGGGAAGCAAGCGACGACGATGGACACCCAGAATTCGGTGCGGCGTGCCACGGGAAAATAGCCGAACCGGCCCTATCACACTGTGTCGGCATTGCCCCAGAGCTGCAGCATTCATTCGTACCTTTTTCGCAAGGCACACAAGAAGATATATCCTGTCGGCACATGGAAGACCACCCCACTACGTAACTCGCCACCCCCTGATACTTGTCCGCAGCCCACCTCCCAAATCACGACAAGCACGCATGCAAACAAACATGTTGCTATCCCCCAAGGTGTTTTGCGCGGCATACAGTATGGATACAGAGACTGACTGGATGGATTGTCGAGACTTATGGCTTGAACATGTGTAACCATGTTTTCCGCTGGTATTTGGGCCCGAATCGCGACAAGAACCGTCGTACTCGACGAAATCTTCCCACAGTCGATCAACCCCTCAGCCTTCGCCTTCGTACGGAATCTTTCCTCCATCTGGAACTTGACAAGTGACAAGACGCGACATCCCAGACATCCCGCCATCCCTTTCGTCTTGGCCCTTCTTCCCACTGCGACCGTCTCCCTTCGCAACGTGCCGACCTGCAACGCAAGCTCGTCCCATATCCCTTGCTTCGGTGCTTTCTTCGCAAGCTTTACACTTTTCCCAGTCCGAACGGCCCAAAACTCTACGCGGGTGCCCTGCGCCGTTTCTCGGTCCGCCGCAATGATACCTAATAAAAAAAGATTGAATCAAACGCACCAAAAAGACCAAACTGGCTCACGGAACAGTCCAGCAAACCTTGCCTCTGCTCCTTCAGCTTTCGAGGCTCTGACGCCCGCGCGTGTAATAAAGCACGGACAAGATGCAGCCCACGACTCGACATACTTTTCGTCCTGCAGGACTAGCACGTATCAAAAGACCCCCACGACGACAGCCTTAAGCCTGCAGACCTCGTACCTATCTTACGTTCGTGACTTTTGCACATCCAAGGCGAGCAGTGCTAACAGTAGTGGCACCCGAATGCCCCTTGATGAATGCGTACACATCTCGCAACATCCACTTACGGATTCCTGAGTACGAAGTGCGACACTGTGAGCATTGGGGAGTCATTCGAAGGTTCGATTGCCGGCACCTGCTGATGGGCCCGGGTGCGAACAAACGGTCGACGATCCCACTCAGCGGGGCTCAATATTGTGTGATTTGGATCTCAGGTTCAGGCCAACGGCTGGCTCCGGCGACCCCCGGTCCAATGTCCCAGCGGGTCGGGATTGATACGATGTTATTTCGAGTCTTTGCGAGTTTCCAGCCCGGACTCCGAGCTCGTTTCCAACTTTTCAATTCCATGTGAAATTGTCGAGTTAATTGATTGAGCTTCGCCCCTCTTGGACCCCAAGGCCGGGCCCGCCTTTGATCATCAAAATTGAGGAACTGAGAACTGAGCTTCATCTCATTCTAAGGTATCCGTAGAAGAAGACATCTTACAACAAATGTCAAGCTTGCATCTACCCTGCTACTGCGCCTTGCCGTTAGCGCCCGGGAGGACTACGCGTATGCCCAACCCGACCGCCGCCCGGAGCATCCAGTAGAGCCGGCCCCCCGGTGGGAATTTGCAACAACTGCGGCTCACAAACAGGCACGAGCTTCCAAAGCTTCCATTCTCAACAGGCAAGGATCGGGTCCTTCTGCACGGCACTGTCTCTGCCCTGTCGGACGTATTATCTGTGTCCAAGTGCCGCCCCTAACCCCCAAAATCGAATGGGCATCCCCTGGGTCGCTGAAGGTCTCGATTCCAACGGGTACGAGGGCCCAGGGCCGTGTGTCAGACTTGTCGTTGGTTGAACGTTGGGCCTTTGGAATGCAACACAGCGAGTTACTAAATGAGACCATGGTCAGTCATGTTTGGTGCAACACCCAAGTATATACCGGTTTACGTGTCTCTGGCAAAGACTTGTCTCTGCTTGTTTCCTTCCCCAACGGAACGGTTTACATGGAACGTGATTGACGAAGAAATTCAGAGAGGCACTAATCGGTGGTCTTGCATGTAGCTCTATTCTTACTGCTCTTCTCCAAAGCCCTGTTTCAACGATTCATTAACTTAATATACGTGAAGAGTCCCTGATAAGCTAATGTCTTTTATGTGTGTACTATAAAGAATGAGCCACAGGCCTTTCGGTCTGCGTTGCTTCGTAAAACCAAACTATCTTGTGTCGCCTTGGGAGGCTTTAGAGCGAACAAGCGTCCTGCCTATCTCTTCTGCTTCAAGTTGAGGCCATCTCCGGATAGTTACAGAGTCTTTCAATAATCCCTATCACATTGGAGCCATGAATCGTATAATCGGGCACTTGTTAAAGCTGAATGAATCGTGATTTCATTTCTATGGAAAAGATTGAAAACGGCAGATCTAAATGCCCTCTAATTCCCGATCCCAAACCCTGATACTAGTAATTAACCATTAAGAGAAACCGGCGCCCATACATGGAGCAGTGTAAACTCCTAGCGTAGTCGGTCCCGTTGAATAATATGCACAGAAGAACTGGGTAGTCTTTGTGGTCGATATGTACGAAAACTCTCAACTTCCTTGTTGCGACTAGCAAGTCTTGCCCTGGTTGACAGCTGGAAATCTCACTGTTAGCCATGGCTTTCTTTATTGTGTTTTGAGAGTTGAATCGACTTACCATTGGCATAGACCGCATAGGTGTCAGCGTGGTTGAGGTTCTGAGCGCTCGTGAGAGTCTTCAAGGCAGTGTAGCCGTAGATGCCATAGTCCAGTGTTCCCTTGACCTCGAGCAAGTGAGTCATCTCGTGCTGAAAAATTCAAACTGGTTAGCTCAAGCTCAATGATCTTCAGTAAAGTGCTGTACTTACCAGAGTGGTGGTCGACTGGTCCTGGTTGTGGCAGCCAGTGGTGAGCAGAGGAAGCGCGGTGAAGTACAGGGGGCAGTTGACCATGTACTTGTAAGCCGGGACGGTGTAAGCCAGGACACCAGGCGAGCAAGACTTGTAGACGTCGCTGCAGTACTGCTTGGAGACGCCCGTGTTACGGCTGCCGCACTCAGAGGCGACCTTGTTGAAGGTGTCGACGACAATCTTCTTGCTGGCGGCGGTCGTCGACTTGAAGTACTCGTTCAGGCGCTTGTCGTCCTGGGAGACGTAGGCGGCGGCGGCGCGGGCGAGCTTGGAGCAGCTGGCGAGGGCGTTGGTGACGGTGGTGTTCTGGGTGCCCTTGCAGTCGGACTGGACAATGGTGCGCTTGATCATCTGCTTGTACGAGGTGCGGACGAGGGCGGCCTTTGTGACGTTGACGTTGTTGATGTTGAGCGTGTTGCTGTCGATGCTGAAGACGCCGGCGATGGTGGTCGAGCCGGCCTGGGCGTAGGGGATGCCGCCGTTGACTCTTACTTTGAAGGCGTCGGCCGCGCCCAGGTCGTGCAGCTCGGCAAAGTCGACGGCGGATTCGATTGTCTCGCCGGCCTTGATTGTTCGGAAGGAGGCGTCGGTGAGGAGGTTTTGAGGTGCCATGCGTAGGCGGACGCCATCGAAGGGGAGGCGGTCGTCTTGTAGGTTGGGTCAGCATTTTGATATTGAATTTGTGGGAGAGTACTACTACTAACCTCCACTGAAGACTGCGACTTTCTCAACGGCGGCCGTGTCCAAAACGGTACCGGGAGTGAAGAGCTTGAGATCGTTCTTGCTAATGTTCTTCAAGGCGATCTTGACTGCTGTGTTGCCGTTCTTGGTGATGTTGGCTTGGAGCGGAGTCGCAGTGTCCCTCTGTGCGAGCTCGATGGGAGAGGCGCTCACAAGGGAGGCCAGGAGAGTGAGACCGGTGAAGAACTTCATCTTGACTTCTGCGGAATGGAGAGTGTCTCGGTTGTTGAAGCTGAGGAGTTGAGAAGTTGAGAGAGAGGGCTGTTTGGAGTTGAGAGTGATGATCCAAAACAAAAAGCCATGCAGTCGATGGAATTCTCATCGTCTTTATACAGGAATTCAAGGCTTCAACGGATCTCACCGTTCAGCCCACGATGCCACTCCGAGGTGACATGAAACCTGGACTTCTCTCCCCGATCCGGCCTAGGGAGTAGAGCGGCCGTGGTTCAAGCCACGGGAAATCGCTGTCTGGAAGGGATTGGAGGCTCCAAAGGATGGTCCGATGGCTAAGAAGAGTCCATGGGGCGGGAGGCGCTTCTGCCCATTGTCGGAGCTAAAGAATTGACAGACACACCTTAGTTGTGATCAACAGGAGAACCCTACGAAGGAGGGTGAGTGTATCATCTTCCCAAAGCATAGCACGCTGGAGCGCGGCTGCGGACCTACATCCTCCACGACAAGTTGGGCAGTGCCTAGAATCGGCAAAGGCGTCGGACTCAAGCGGTCTAGCAGAGGAAACCTATGGGTTCCAACTCGATGGGTCAGCCTGGCTGGTGTAAGCCACGACGAGCAGATGCGGAAACTTCATTGAGGTGATGGACGAGACATCTGGCGCCACTAGACATGTGTCCTATGTTGTCTTCAGTTTCTTTGGAAGTTGGTAAAGCACCACGCGTGTGATTGTGCCAGGAGACCAGGAGGAGAGAAGACCTAACGACCAAGCAAAGACAAGCTCTTGCCGATCAGCAAGTGATCAGCAAGTCTCCACGAGGACCACGAGTCTTCAACTGCCGTGCCCCTTGGGTGAAAGGTTTTCCAACAGACCTAATCCTTCGGTCGGAGCGGGCTCCATGGGGCTCTGTCCAGGCCAGCAGGCCCACTATCCGCAAACGGCCTCCGGGAACGTGGGGATAAAGACCCGTGGAAGAAGCCCGGGGAGCCGTAGCCTCTTCTGTAGATGCTAACCGCACCGCGCCTTGCTGTATGTCTCCTAGAGACAAGGAGCGAGAGTGAGACATGGCTGGCACCAAAGGTTGGCCCTAGGCCGCTGTGAGACACGCGCTGGCTAACGAGTAAGACAGGGACTCTCCGTGGCCGGGGGGCAGTTCACCAACCTAGCAGCAAGTAAAGTACCTACCTACTCTTATCAATTGAAGTGTGTCCCGAAATGCCGGCAAATCAACTGAGACAAGCTGTGATGGATTGGAGTCTAGAAACGGTCTTCACGTTTTCCTCGTTCGAGATGACGTCGGCAGCAGAACGGAAACATCACCGAAGGGGTCTCGACCCTGAGACCGGTGGTCGCGCAGGCAACTGCCGTTCGGAGTGGGTCTACCGAAATTATGGGTCATCGGCGCCGGTCCCCGTATCACTGCTTACATGCAGCATTTTGGCGACCTTCCTCTTTCGTCCGTAGACCAGCGCGAAGTTTTCCTGCACCAAGCTTGAAGTCGAAGGATTGCGTCTCCATCATGCCAATGTAGCGTCGTCTGAAGTCGTGCCGCCAGCTTAATCGATTTAGAGTCTAGGTAGGTGGTCTCTAAGAGGGGTGTAAGAGCAGGGGATGGTAAGGCGCATCTCTTCCTTCGATACCCTGCAAAGTGCGGGGTCTCCCGCCGTCCGGCCGAATCTGTCATCTAGTCAAGGTAGTTCATCGCAAGTAGGCGACTTTAGCTGGCGATATGGTAGCCTCCGTCGCGGATAGAAGCGCAAACCCGATCTGCCGGGTTCTCTAGATGGGAGCTTGGTCCACCATGAATCGCATCGCCGTATACATCGGAACTCTCCCGTAGAGCATCTCAACTACGCCGCTGACACCATCGCAAGAAGGCTATGGCAATTCGTAGCTTCAATTCATGGATCGTGGCAAGCGTGGCATTTCGTCCGTCCCAAAGGAACGGAACCAAGCTTGCGTGGCTAAAGCCGCTGGGCATTCCTCGGCAGACGGCTTCTCCTCCTATTTCAAGCTTAGTGCGCGCGTTCTCACGACAAACTCATTCCATTCACCCACGTTGCCTCTTGGTTTTACCAGACATTCAAACAACAAAAGCCATCCTCCCAGCGGCACCGGTAGGCGGCCGCATTTGATCAATTGACGTCAGCCGGCATCTTCCATGCCACTTGCCCCCCTTAGGAAGCTGTTCCGCTTCAGGCGCATCCTGCTGACCACGTCCACTTCGCCTGCCTTGGGAAGGGTAGCCTTATTTCTCTCAATCCCACATAACACACATTGAGAGAGAGAAAAAGAGACCTAGCAACAAACCCCCGATACTCACTCACGCCTTCACCTACCGCCATCTTACCGCCATCTTCTACACCATCTCAACAGCCAGCCGCCAAGATCGATGAGTAACCTCCAAGCTCGCTCGCTCTTTCGGCCCATCGTCCTCATCGTAGCCCTCATCTTCGTCCTCTCAACCTGGAATCGCAGCGGTTCCTCCCGAGACACCATGGCGGAAGAGAACCAGCACGCCGGCGCGCTATCCAAGCTCGCACTCCGCATCCGTCAGACGTCGGAAAAACCTCCCACCCTATCCTTCTCCGTGGAAAACAAGCACGACGCCCCGCTGACCATCCTCCGCTGGAACACGCCCCTCGACCCCCTCGCCATCCAAGTCGGCCTCGTCTCCATCACGCCCGAGGGCAAGAGCGAACCGATCGAGGTCCACACTGTTCAGCTCCGCCGGATCATGCCGCCGCGCCCAGAGGACCTCGTCACCCTCCAGCCCGGTGAGAGCCAGGAGCAGGAGATTGTCCTCAAGGAGCCCATCGTGGCGCTCGATTCGCTCGGCAAGACGGCACGGGTGGCTGTCAAGGGCAAGTGGCAGGTTGTTTGGCCCACGACGGCGGACAAGCTTAGTCAGGCAACGCTTGAGAAGTTGCAGTTTGGCGAAGGGGTCTTGACGGGTGAATTCGAAAGTGAGACGATCGATGTCACGATTGGTTAGGACGTCTCGGCAAGTTAGTCAAGTCACACGATATCGATATTTTCTCGTTTTCTCGTTACACCACCCGTCAAACTATTGCAAACTGTCGATTCATTTCCTCCTTCCTCCCTCTCTGATTCAGTATGATATTCCTATCGTGACCTAGTCCTAAGCATACGTCCGTTTGTCGAATCCAGGCACCCTGTCACGCGAGAGCTTCTTTGCAAACATCAAAAACAACGTGTCTCGAAAACGTGGCCTGGGCATAGTCTACGGGCGAACCTGGCCGACCAGCTGAGTGTGACGACAAGGCAAATCACATTGTTCTGGAAGGGCCTGTGTAAGCAAGCACAGGAAACGTCCAAGTCAGGATGTCTCAGAGGAATATGCCGTGTTCGGACTAGCTAGCTCTAACTCTTCTAGGATCGGGAGGCACCTTACCCCATTTCTCTTCTTTGAGGCTGGTCTAAAGTCCTCGCGCCCGTGTGCCCTTCATCCTGTCCTTCCTCTCCTTGCCGACTCTCGGGAGCAGGATTTCGGCTTCAATCTAAGTCACATCGGCCGATGCCCGGGGCGGACGGGAAGATAGTCTCAGATCACCACCAACAACTAGGTATCCCGCTCCGATTGCCGTGGATCGTGGACGACGACACTCCAGTAGTCGACTTTAGCACCTGTAGAGGCAATATCAACAAGGCGCCAAACAACTACCGAACCTTTAGAGCCCGGAGAGGCGTTGCCTCTTCGGACAAAGCGGCCAATCTAACAAATCGACGGCCTCGAGACTGGAAGCCCGCCGGCCCCAATGTCTCGGTGCTGTCGTTCAAGCCCCCGCCCACACCGCCCGTCCGCCGTTCTCTTCTATTGACAGACGGCTAATACCAAAGAGCCCTGGATCTTCTCGCCACATCGCTGTCAGCAATGGGACGGTCGAGACCCGGTCCCGCCTCGTGCGGACCACGTTAGTCCCTCGTGAGAAAACGCTTTCTCCGAATGTCATCCTCTTTCTCTGCTGCCATGAGGGTTGTAAGCATGGCTTTTCCAACTTCCGCATGCAGTTCAAATGTGTCCTTCGTTCCCCTCCAATACTGATCAAAAGACCATCACGGTTCCACAGACTAGAGAGGTCGAATATAGGCCCGGACCCTGGAGAATTCGGAACCCACTCCGACGTGCCATGCATTTGAAGGGGGGTTGCCACCCTCTCTAGAGTAGGGCCGTTACTTTAGAAAAACCGATTTACTGTCCCAAGACGTACTCTCTTTCCGCATCCATCAAGCACGTTCACGCGTCTTCCACGTTCACGGCGGTCTGAGGCTAGACCCACGCAAAAGGACCACGAGCATCGTTGAAGACGGAGAACTTCTTCCAGCAGAAGTCCACGCGGTCCACGGCTTCAACTGCCGTGACTGAGACACCACGCAGACCAGAGTCGAGAACACTGATGACGAAGTCTCTTGCTTACATTTGATATGTGGTTGAAGTCGGAGTTCACTAGTTCATCGAGTAGCGGGTTTAGACAGAGAGTCCAGGGACTTGCTGCAGGTTGTTTTCGTCAAGTGCGACGGTTAGCAACTCAATGTAAATGGCACTACTGTATATTTCAAATCCATTAGGTATACGTTTGACTAGCCCCTAGTCTCTTTCCAACTTGTCTCTTTGCAGTATCCTTTTCTAGTCAGTATTCAATTGTTATTACGGTCGTATCTACTAGAACCTGTTACGATAGCGCGAGACCCATCAGTATCAGTACCCTGCAAGACCTGGGTTTAGACCACATACCATCACGACCAGGCCAGACCAGCGGTGTTCAAGCCTCTCAATCTTCGAATTGTCTTTCAAGTGTCGCGACGAATGCTCATACACGTAAAGGTTTCCTCAGATGCAGCAATATCTCCACCTATAATGATTGTACCCCTCCAATAACTTCCCAATCTTGCTTGATATTGCCAAATCGAAGAGTCACAACAGCCTCACAAGCCTACACGTACCCTCAGCTATCAGAAATTAGTCAGTCTCAGTCTCAGCTGCGAAATACTACATTGGAACCAGGACTTGTGCAACCGGTGGGATCAACTCAGATATCGTATCCAGACTTCAAGGCTGACCTTTTTCTTAGTATTATACGTGAAATAAGGTGCCAGTACTCTGCCGAGGTTCAATAACATTCTTCCGTATACCGGTGTTCTGTATGCGGTCTTGAGACTCATTATCACAGCAGAGGACTTGTTCATCAAGGTAGCTGACGTTGTCTCGCAAAGTGGCAGTTTAGTACCGTCACGAATGCACTGCGTGAGGCAAGACAACTGGAGGACTACTGACGCATGTCCAAATTGACTCCAGGAATACGATCAATATACCGGTGTTGAGATTTGCAAACATTGCCCTTAGGATAGGTTATTGGGTATTCAGAGTGGAATCAGAGGTCAGCGTGGTAAGACCAGAACTCAAAGGCCTCGGAGGGGAAATAATGGTAGGAAGATTATCAAAGCAGAGAGAAAAGCCATGCACGATGATTTATATGCATTGTGTGCTCCCTACGTGGGAAAGGTAGTCGAGACTGTGGAAGTTCTCCTGTACCTTGAAACCGCGTGACACGGCAAAGTCGACTGAAGCCCAAGGTGGCTCATATGCTGACTTCATATTGACCGGTCTCTGAAGTAGCGAGAGACAAGTTATTACGAAAATGTTTCATGCCGGCCCTCGCGGGCAAAGCACCCTCTTCTTGAATAAAATGTCGAGATGGAAATCTTCCCTCTCTGGGAACGGGTTCATGTCATTTCTTCAGGTGGGTCAACATTGACTGCGTTTTCAAGTCTTGATGCCGCTGAGCGTTTCATACTTCCCAGGTGTCTAGATCTCCAAGAGCACCTTTAAATCAATAAGGCAGGCAGATACAGGCATCAAGGTGACGGGTAGTGCATTCATTCATTCACCCAAAGAGCCTGGACAACTAACCTGACCAGACCGACACATCTTATTCGATACGTGAAACAGATTTCACCTAAAGTCGGTAACACAATGGCAAACACATGGCGCACGCCGAAAAGTCAAGCAAGACGTCAAGATAACAACACCCCCATACCACCGGCCTCGGATCCTTAAACGGCACCCCGGCCCCCTCTTTTCTCTCCACTTTCGGATCCGCGCGACCCGGAGCGGTCGGAACGGCATTACGGAAGAGGTACAATGTCATCTCGGTTAGCAACTCCCCACGAGATACACGCATGCGCACTAACGCCGAGTACCGCGTAGACGCGCGCTCACGGTCCCTATTCCCCCCCAAGCCACGAGCACCATCCTCCCGCCTGGGACCCCAGGTCTTGTCTGCCTGCCTTTTGTTACCATCGGATGGTCATTCATTGGTCCGTCCAGGTTCGAGGGCGTCCGGCGTCCCGGCGTCCGCAAGATCGCGTGCGCACCCCGCATTCTCTCCACGATCAGGATGAATTGAACCGAACCTTGCGTATTCTCTTAGCTCCAGGGCTATTTCTCAGATTCACATCACCATGAAGAAGCAGTTCCAAAGCAGCAGAACACCGATACCAGGGTTCGTGACAGACGAAGTGATCGCGGATCAGACCTTCTCCCGGTTGCTGGCGTCGGATGCGGCCTCCATGCTCATCACGTTGGACACGATTGTCAAGAGGTGGCGGTGTGATCGGAATGCTCGGAAGCTATCATTCTATTGCTTGTTCTCTCTCTTTGACTTCTGTGTCTATGGATCTATCCATTTGGTGCAGGTATAAAATGCTAACGCCATGCCAGTTTTTTTTTGCACTATATCTTCTGTACCGTCTCCAGGCCACCCTGGGCTCCCGTGCTTGATTCGACATTACCACGGCGTCCCTCGAAGATCGCACATTAAACAAGACTCGACGGCCAGGCCCAGAGCCCGAAGCACTCGGCGATACGAATCGCCAAAATCCTACACTAGCGTATGCAGAGAGGGCCATCGTGGACCAGCTCATGAGAAGACACGACCTTTCTTTCTTTCTTTCTTTCTTTCTTCTTTCAGTCGCTCAACTCCGTAACTTAGTTCACCGCACCCTTGATAGGCGCGGTGCCGAGACCGTTGTGGTTGCGGAAGAACAAGACACCCTTGCCCTCGCCCTGGGCCTCAGCACTGGGCTCAACCCACTGGCACATACGCGCAGACTTGTACAAGGCCTTGATGAAGCCAACCGGGCCATCCTTGACGTCAGCACGGTAGTGCTTGCCCATGACGGGCTTGATGGCGTCGGAGGCCTCGTCGGCGTTGTAGAAGGGAATGGTGCTGATGTAGTGATGGAGGACGTGGGTCTCGATAATGCCGTGGAGGAGGTGGCGTCCGATGAAGCCCATCTCGCGGTCGATGGTGGCAGCGGCGCCACGGACGAAGTTCCACTCACCAGCGGTGTAGTGAGGAAGAGTAGGGTCGGTGTGCTGGAGGAAGGTGATGGCGACTGGGAAGAAGAATTAGCTGACAGTCACAGAATCGAAACGAGCCTGTCGACACTTACCAAGCCAGTGGTTAACCCAGAGGTAGGGAATGAAGTACCAGACCAGGAGGTTGGACCAGCCGAACTTGTTGCCGAGGAGAGCGAGGACGGTCATAGTGATGCCGACACCAATGTCAGAAGCGATGATGAGCTTGGCGTCCTTGGCCTCGAAGATGGGACTGCTGGGGTCGAAGTGGTTGACACCACCGCCGGCACCGTTGTGCTTGCCCTTGCCGCGGCCCTCACGCTGGCGCTCGTGGAAGTTGTGACCAGTGACGTTGGTCATGAGGTAGTTGGGCCAGCCAACGAGCTGCTGGGCGATAAGCATCAGGAGGGTGTAGATGGGGGTCTCCTCAGCCAACTCGCCGACTTCGTGGGCCAAGCGGCCAGCACGGGTGGCCTGCTGCTCGCGAGTGCGGGGCACGAAAACCATGTCACGCTCCATGTGGCCAGTGGCCTTGTGGTGCTTGCTGTGGGAGATCTGCCAGCTGAAGTAGGGAACGAGCAGAGCCGAGTGAAGAACCCAGCCGGTGGCGTGGTTGATGGTCTTGGAGGGAGAAAAGGCCTGGTGACCGCACTCGTGGGCAATGACCCAAAGACCGGTTCCGAAGAGACCCTGGAGAATGGTGTAGACGGCCCAAAGAACGACACGAGCAGCCTTGGAAGGCACGTACTCGGGGGTAGCGAAGTTGTGGAAGATCAAGAAGGTGGTGGTGAGGCAGAGGATATCGCGGGCGATGTAGGCGTATCCCTTGAGAGCAGAACGCTCGAAGCAGTGCTTGGGGATAGCGTTGTGGATGTCCTTGATGGTGAAATCGGGAGGGGTGAACTCGTTGCCGTAGGTGTCGTACAGCTTGGTGTAGTTGGCCTTCTTCTCGAGGACGGCATCGTCAGAGGCCATAGACGACAAGGAGGTCGACGAAGCAGAAGGACGGGGCGAGTCCACGGGCGAAGCCATGGCAGTGGAAGGAACCGAAGCGTCGGTCTCGGCGGTGTTGCTGGTGACGGTGCGGCGGAGAATGGGGTTCTGGCCGGCCGGCGCAGACGAAGTGGTAGAAGCCATGGCGGCTGGTATTATTGTGCTGCTGCTGCTAGGGAAGATAAGAGGGACGATGAGGGCAGCTTGGTGATGTTGCCTCGGTATTGGATGAATACACTCAGAGGAACGGTTGACAAGTTCCAATGGCCCTTGGGAGAAGAGAGAGGGATACCAATTGGGTCGCGGGGAGGGAACAGGAATTAAGAATCACAAGCAGGAAAAAGGAGGAAGGGAGGGGAGTAATAAATGAAGGCACTCTGGGAAGAACCTCAGGTCGGTATCGGGTCGTGGCGGAGGCGAAAAGACAAAATAGTTAGCAAACGATGGGTCGGGACGGGGCCCGTTGTCAACTGTGTCTCTCCAGGGCCTTGGCTCGCTAGTACCGAGTAGTAACAAGTGGCCGGTCAGGTACCGTAACGGATGGAGCAAAAGGAGATCCCTGTGACTTTTTTTTCGGAGGAGTGAGTGAGTGGTGTGCAGGTAGGTACCTTAAACTGGACCATCTGTAATAAACCGAGGTGAGGTCTACTTGGTAGGTATCCGTACGGAGTAGTGGTGGTGTTCTGTGCTCTACCTTACCGTGTAAGGTATGCTGTGTGCTGTCTGTCTGGCCTCGGTTCCGTTTTTGTTGGGGACGAACTGGAGAGAGGGAAAGAGAGGCAGCTCCATTGCTTGTGGCCTGCGGGGATTTGCAGGGCACGGTGCAAGGGGAGAAAGAGCAGGACCAGGCCAGGGACGGGAGGGACGAAATGCGTGGCAGGGGACGAGGATGGGGGGGCCACCGGGGCACCGGGGGGTGTGAAAGCAATGAAATGTGTTCGTGTCAAGTCGTGCCGTGTGGTGGTCGGTTGCTTTCCTTCCTTTCCAATCCCAATTGCTGTTGGATTTTTCTGCTGGGCCTCGATGTTGATTGAGTTACCCACCAAAGGAGGACGATGTGGAGGAAGGAGGAGGTGGAGGCAAGAAAGTCAAGTAACCCGTACATCCACTACTTGGGCGAGGTACAATATTGTTGCACCAATTATCATGTGATGGGAGGTATCTTTCCTCTCCACCTCCTTCCGTCTATGGGCCAAGGTACTCCGTAAAGCCACTACCTACCTGACCTTCTATGCGAGTAGGTACCTTACCTCAGGTAGCCTTTCCGAATCCCATGAGAGGCCGGACGGAAGGAAGTACCGAAGCTGGAAGCTGCGCCTGGTCAAGGAATTGGACCTATTCCATCCCATACGGAGTATCATTCGGTGAGGAAGGTATCGCAGGTATATCACTGGAAGGCAGGAGGGGCGCATCCAGACGGCGTTTAGACATTTAGACATCGGGCTTTGGTCATGCCAGATGCCATTGAATACTCAGGTACTCATTATATCGATGGATCACAGCATACCTACTTGCCTCCCCACAGCAGCAACAACTCGACACTCACAAGCCAAAACCCGGTGTACCGATTTTTGGGTGGATGAATAGCTTGGCGATGCCGATTATGAACAAAATTCTTGCGGCTTTCCCAAACCTTTTTGGAGAAGGCACACCTTTTTTTTTTTTTCTGCGCCAGAGGGGAAGGAAAAAGATCGGCTGAAAAAGTATTTTTGGGAGGAAGTCGGCGGTCTGAAGGGTCTTGCTTCGGTACGTACCCTGATCTAGTGTAAGGCGAAGAGGAAGGAATGGGAGTCGGGAATGCATCAGTCGTGCTTTGATGTACAATCTACATCCACTAAGATTCTTCCTGCCCCAATTTCGACTTTCCTTTGCCTAGATGTATTGTAGCCGCTACCTTCCAACCCGGCCTATGCAGTCCACCTGCATCAGACGCAGCTTGCAGTGAGGTACGGTAAGGTAGGTACTTGAAGGGCTGAAGCGATGGAAAAGTGCCTTTCACTGACCGTTCCTCTCTCACGCTGCAATGCTGCATTTACCGCACAGACTCGAGGCAAGGCAATCTGAGTCTTCTATTGACCGTGCTGAATCTCGCCCTCTTTCTCTTCCTCTTCATCTTGGAGCCGCTATTGACACGCGACGGTATTTGCATCAGTCTAGATCCTCTCGCCGTCCCCGCCATTGCCACTGTTTGCATCTGGGTCATGTTCCAGCTCCCGGCAGCAAATCTACCCCTATTGGGAGGCAAATTCATGCCTGGCAGGGCAACACATGGACCCCTCCATTGCAACGCGAGACAGGCACCATATCCGCTGTTTCTTTGGCCACTGGTCTCTGGGCTCTGGAGCTCTCTTCTGAAGCTCTTACCAGGTACCCGTACCTTTCGGCACCGACATACCTCGACGGGGTTAGGAGTACCGAGACCTCAACCGTATCTCTTCGCCCAATGCCTCCCTCGACCCTCCGTTTCCCAAGCACTTTGCGGCTTGCCTCCTCGTGCTTCGCTACCGTCTGGCTCATGCTAATGCACCCTTACCTGCGGTCCACTCTGGCCATGCTCCAACTTCACCGCCCTTCGAGCCAGCCGGCTGGACTCTGGAGCTGAGAGGCAGATCAGAGCCAGACTGTGGCAAAGTCAATTTGGTTCATCATCATCATCATCATCATCATCAGCAGCAGCAGCAGCAGCAGCAGCAGAGGCAGCAGAATGCCGGATCCTTTAATCGGTCCCGGATGGCCTCGATAGTTTGACATCGGACTCAACCACAATACCTACTGTATTCACCGTTTCCATCGGAGGCCTGCAGATCCCAGGACAGCCTCTTTTGGAGACCCGAGTTGGACATATCTTGCGCAAGACAGCGTATGCTGTCACTGCTGTGGTACCCAGGCCTCCAACCTACGGGCTGGCAGTATCCAAGACACAACCATGTAAGTCGAAGCTGATTTGCCGCCCAAGCTGCACCAGGCGTCCTGCCGCTCCCGTTATGCCTCCCGGGTCATACTTGCGCTCTCTGACGTCTTGTCTTGTAGCAAACATGCAACACGCAGACTGTCCATTGGCCTTGTTCTTGAAGGTGGTGCAGCCACACCGCGCCCACCAGTCACTCCCGCAAATGTCGCCTACGTTTGGCACAAACCGGCGTTCGTCTGTGCATGTGAAGATGGCGCTTGTTCGGGGCAAGATTCAGATCGGAAAATCCTCCAGTCGTAGACGGCGGTATCGTGGCAGCGTAGCCAATATCGAGTCAGATCAACAACCGCCCCAAACCTTGCACCATTCGACCAGCGACAGCAATTCTGGTCCGTTTCGATCTCACCACATGCCCGAAAACCGCACCGCAGCAGTCACTCTGTACAATGGTTGCCGTGAGTTGAGAAGTCCTTCCGCCGATTTCCTCCGACCAATTCACGATCAGGAGATTTTACTTCATTGTGGGATGTCCCTGGGGCGAGTCTCGATATAAGTACACGGCGGAGACTCTTCTTGCGCCGCAGTAGGCCGGGGCCAACATGTTGGATTTTGAAATGTTGACAGTATTCAAAAATCATTGGGGATACGATGGATGAAAAGTGCCCGCCGTCGTTCAGCCTTCAGGGATGGGGGTACGTATCCAGGTTCCCCACGCTTCTTGGTGGGATGACAGGGATGAGCAAAGTATACGTACCATCTGCACGCAAGAAAGTGGTCCTCCATGTTTTCTGTTCCCATTCTTTCAACCCCACGAACGAAGCAGAAAGCAGAGCGAACTGGGAAGACGCGACAGACTGGAGCCTCACGATTGGCCAACAACGTCTTCAGCCTTCTCCAGCCAATCGGGAGCAGAGCAAGTTGCTGACGCGGCTAGCCAATCAAGGGCCCGCAGCTGGGGATGGGAGTTGAATCTTGAATTGACGCCCTCGCTTTTGTCGACGACGTCCAAGGAACGAAAGTGGCCAAAGATGAGCCTCTCACCAGCTAGCAACATTTCTGAATCGCTTCTCGTGGCATCCAATTTCCACACCGGATTTTTGCAATGCACAAGGGGAGACCGATGATAGACACTACGGCAATTGGACTGGACTCGACTCGAGTCGACTTGCCTCGGGCAAACCCGCGAGACAGAGGATGAAACGACCTAGGATCGAGTCGCTCGACTTCCATCCTCGACGACCTCCACAGCTCACAGCTTGAACAGGACGTAAAGACCCTGAAACAAGGGTGGGAACGCCATTTTCTGGAAGCATCATGGCATTCCAGGGTCCGGTTTTTGCCTGCTTCGCTTCTGTAGGTAGCGCTGTGGAGATCAGTCACTCCCTTTCCCCCTCTATTACTCTTTTGTTTTTATTTTCTATTTGCTGCCCTTGAAATTTTCTGTTGGGGTTCAAATTTGTTGAGATGGTTGCAGTCCAGGGCAGGGCCTTGTCGCGATGGCAGAGCTTCATTGGTACGTACTGACAGAACCCCACTCAGATGGATGAATCCCCGGTCTTTGCTCTCGCAAGTCGCGACTTCCTGCTCTCTCTAGGGATACGTACCCCGGGAACTTCAGCACACGCCAATTTTGATTCATTCTCGAGCCTTGAATCTTCACATCCGATGGACACCTTGCGGTGAAAGCACACAGCAATGCCGGCCATTGTTGTATTAAGTGGACTAGGAAACAAAGCTCCATCGCCTTCTCAGAATCCCGATTATCGTGGAGACCTTCTATCGAGGTTCCAGTTCCACCTAACGCTGAGACCATCGAGATCCTCAAGGACCAATCCCAACATACTCAATTACACGGGGGAACAAGGATTGGGACAAGCTGGCAAGCAGCTTGTCGGTAAGGTCTCTGCGGCTTACAGCCAATTTTCAATTATCACATGGTAATTGTTCGATACTGATCCTGCTCCGTCTCCCGCCCAGCCTGGAATGATATCCGTTCTGGCAGCCGACCAAGAGCACGCCAGGGGCAAAAGCATGCCTCCAAAATCCATCACTCAGAGGCCACAGCCAACGGCTATCTGCACGACGCTTCTGCAATCCGCACTGCTCATCGTGGCACTCGTCAAGTCGGGCCCACTGTCGCCTACTGTCGTGGAGTTGTGGTGTGGTGCCGTCCGCCTCTCCTTCCTAACGAACCCGAGGCCGGGCCCTTTTTCACGGACCACAGGACCGACCTCCTTCACATGTGATTTGCTCCCCTCCATAGGATAGCGAGAAGAGGCGGCAGTGACCGCTGACAGGCGCCACAACCTACTCCAAAGGTCACGACATTTCTTTTCACCCCTTGCTAGCACTTATATCCGTTCCGTTAGCTTTGCAGACGAATCAGGGAACCATGGCATTGGCACTCTGCTGATACCTCCCCATCTCGGCAAAGTGTCCTGCGAGTTGACGGACCAAGCACGACTCGGGGGCGAGAGATCGTTTGCCTAGCAGTGTCACTGGCTGGAGGCGGAACATTCCCTTCGTCCCGTCTGGCCGCGGAGGGCTAACGCTTAAGCAGGTTTCCTCCCCCTAGCCTTTTTGGAGGAAATTCAGGGTTGTGCACCGATTCCGTATCTGCTTCGCATCGTCTCCTCGAGGAAGAAGAGGAGAAGATTCGTAGTAGCACCAATCAACAGTAGCTGGTGAAAGATTTGGCTTGTTGCGGTTATAGATGACCATGTCTCGTAGGGCTTTCAGCTGACGACACTTTTGTCTCGGTTACCCCAAGTGCTAGTCCGGATGACTGACAGCTCTAGCTCCAGCATGTCACTCGAGGAGAGTTTACGAGTTGCGAGTTTTCGATGAGACATCCGCGAGAGCCACAGCCTCAAGCATACCTACCTAACTCACACTTCTCTAAGTCTTGCCAACCGCTAATTACTCACATGCTGTCTTCACTCAAAGTAGATAACCGAACTGATGAAACCGGTTCGAAATCGCAGCGAATCGTGACACAGATTGACACTACGGAGGATCCCCCCAAGTCTCAGTCAGGTCCATATTTGACCTCCTATTCACCGCCTCAGTCCCAAGACGTGGAACAACGCTTCCCTGACCGCCAATCACACGATACATGAATACCATTTCTCACTCAGACAGCTTGCTGCATAACGAACAAGCCCCTCTTCGACACCTATTATCATTCATATCCTTATCAAGAATAGCCGTCATCCAGGGCCTCGTGACAGCCTGCAGAATGATACCCAGCGCAGGCTCAATGTCACGGTATCCGACTAAACTGCGTTGCTCTTTGGCTGCCTTACCTCTCGACAGAAACGCAGATCAGATCAAAGACATGTGAAAATACACTTCCTACCCCCAAAAATGCCCGAATATCACGATCTCTGATGTCACTCGTGTCACCCTGACATGCCGCCGTTCTCAACAGCTTTCATCGTCAGGTGCTGCAATACGCTTGATACCCCCCGGTTTGCTCCGCAAGTAGATTTGCGTGGCTTTCTGTAAAGGAGACCTCAGCATAGGTCCGGGTGAGAAACGTAGCCTACATGTCACCTTCTCCAATGCTTCACCGGTACACCTACCTATCAGAAGCGCTCAGAGTCGCGCCTCCTGTCAGACAGCGCCAGCCCCATCCGTCGCGGCTGAGACACCCAACAATCCGACCCCGCGTCTCACAGGCGCCATCTCCGAGTCACAGAGGAGAGTTTGACAGGAAGTCACTGAAGTGTAGGTATCTTGGATCTCTTTGGGTGTCGTGGCATTTCACTCCTTGGGCTGGGTCAGGCGGAGTTGCTGTTCATGTGTAGCTCTCCGTGCTTCCGTATGACTGCCGGCGCTGGGAGATAGGTAGATGTGCAGCTCGGGAGGCGCTGCTTTGCAGCAGGCAGGTGGAAAGCCGTTGAATACAACCCCGATTGAAGCAGAGCTGGTGTGGTAGACGGTACGTATCGCACGTAGGTCGTGATATTTGGCAGGCAAGAGTTGAACGTAAGATGGAATGTATAGGTACTCTCAACCTCTTAATGAAGTGAATCTCATATTCGCAGCCGCGAGGGATGATTGTGTTCTACAATGGCTCATTCCATTCATCCTATCGCAACTTGATTCATGTGCGGAAATGGCCAGCATCACCAGTGTTTGAACCGCCTTCGTTCACCTGCTCATATCTTCTCATTTACCTCACAACTTCCCTACAACGTTTCGTAAAATGGCAGCAGGTTGGGTTTGGCCGTCAGAATGATCAGGCTTGCCTTGAAGAAGCCCCATTCATCGTCTAGTAGCTTGAATATCTACAGTTACTCCACGACTGGTCTGGTGGTGAACATCCGAGTTCGATGGAATCATCACCTCAGCCAGGATCGAGACGAAGTCGGATTTGCCATGGAAGCCGAGGTTGCGCTTCTACCCTCGGCAATGCTTTCGACCACCCGCCGACTCTGCTGTTGGCGATAGTACTGCATACGATCAGGAATCGTTGCCTTCGATTCCTTCAAGTCCTTGTCAAGTTCCTCATCTTCGTCTGAGGTGCCGGCATCGCCTGCATCCATGTAGTCCTTTGCTTTCCAGTATCGTTTCCCATTAATATACTCTTCGTCGTACAAATCAATCTCGTTGCCCATGAGATTGAAATGTTGCAGAGCCGCTTGAAGTTCCTGTTCTTCCTTCTCCGAAGGACCAGCGTTGGCATCATCCTGACGTAGTTCGACTCTGCCAGGGCCCGTCTGGTAGGAGAGACCCGATGCTTCCAGACCTCTCCGTTGCTCCTCCGGCACCCAAGAACCATGGGATATAATCCACGCGTTGAAGTGAGAAGTGTTTGGTTGGAGCAGGTAGTCGTAGGGGCGCTTCAGATCTTCCCGTACAGGTCGATAGTGGTCTAGCCAGTGACGTGAAACGTATCTTAGGAATGCCCGACGAGGATCGTTGCGACACTCTTTGAGATAAACGCTCGCTTCGTGGTGGTCCAAGACAGTCTTATTGAAAGGCTCCTCTGACTGGATCAAATTGATGTAATCAGCGCAAAGTTGAAGCATGTACATGTTTGCATCCGCCAGACTGATTGAATGTTGCCATTGCGAGACAAGCTCCGAGCTTCCTGATTTCTGCCTGTCTTGGTCTGTGGCTAGAGAACGCCTTTTCCATCGAAGAATCATCTTGAAATCGAGCTCGCCATCTCTATCCAGAAGGAATTGGCGGGCTGTCTGGTGGACTAGATATATTTTCTGATTGCGAATCCTGACAAAATGGCCGCAAATTTGCCGTAGATGATTGATAAACGGCCTGTGCACCAAAATTTGTAGCTCTTGCAGATTAGAAACCGTTCGCATCTGCGTTGCTGGCTGTCGATTGATGGTAGTGTTATTCGCCTTAGGCCGGAGGGAAGCAGCCGTCATACCTCGTCTCTCAGTATTCTTCAGCTTTGGCGTGAGATTTGTTGATTCCATTATACTTCCGGTTCTAGTGACGACTCTTCGTCTCGTATTCTTCTTCCCTGGTCTAACTGCTGAAGATGAGGAGTTTGGTGATAAGACCGTCGTCGTGGCCCTGGCAGTTCCGGGCTTTTGGAAGGCCTGAAGCTCTAACACCTTCTTCTGCTGACCGAGCTGTTCCTCAGAGAGTCTCAATTCTGAGTGGTTCAAAGCTCGTTTTGACTCTTTTGTATCTGGCTGTTCGTGGTAGTCTTGATTGACCTCCACAGCTCCGCATAACTCATCTAAAGTCAATGGGCGAACGGCTGCAAGGATGAGTAGTAAAACCTTTCTGGTCTTCAAGGGTGATGCTCGACCGGACAAAAGCTTTTCGTAAACGTCTTCGAGCTTGGTAGTCGCCAAGATGGCTTCGATCTGGCCCATTGAAATTCCGTCAACTTCAGCTTCTTTTACGATGTTCAAGACCAAAGACACCCAGAGGAAAGTGTAATCGGCATTGCTGATAAGACGTTTTTTCAGTCGATCAAGAATTTCAGTAGACAATTCCGATTGCTGACCAAGATCCGAAACTTTTGATATCACGAATTGAGCGATATCCTTCGCAACGGAGACACTCTCTTCCTCGGCACTAAGCCTGAAACTGCAACCATTCTTGCTGTCCTGTGAGCCAATGTTAAGATTACCATTGCCCAACCGGAGTCCAAACCTGCGTTCGAATGAGTTGAGCGGTCGGCTTAGGAGAACGATTTTACAGGCTGGCCTCGAATCGGCGGTTAATTCTTTGCGAGACTGGAAGAAGTCGGCCAGAGCTTTGACGAACTCATCCAAGGACTTCTCTTCGCACTCATCTAGACCATCTAGTATAAACACCATGCTTTTTGTGTTTCTATCATCCATTGCCGCTAGTAGAATAGACCAAAGTGTGGGAAAGCGATTGAAACTAGTCTTCGGCATGCTGAGGTATTTGGCCATGGCATGGTGCATTACCCGACTTTGTTTGGAGAGTAGCTGGTGAAGGACCGCCGAAACAGCTGACGAAGCATTGTCCTGGTTTTCTAGTCCTTCCTTGAAGAAGAAGTAGCAGACATGGGTGTGGAGATGTGCGCTGAAGGTTCGTTTTTGGAAAAAGTCGACGAGATACTTCGCTACTACCGACTTTCCACAGCCAGCATCGGCTGAGATCCATAGGAGGGCTGAGCCTGGTACCGAGTCCCATAGAGTCCATATCTCATGTGATGTAACCCACTCGCAAGTCTTGGGTATCGGGTCGTCGATCTGGTCAAGATGGTTTTCGTATTCCGAGTTCAATTCCCTTAGACAAGCCATTGCCGCCGGATCGAACCCTCGGGTTCCATTAGTCGATATGTCGATGGTCAATGGCATTTGCCGTTAGTTATACTCACGAACATCACTTCTTGATCCCGATCTTCCCACCGCCTCGCGGATGGCTAGAGAAGCAGCCTTGTATCTTGAGTCTTCTGATGACGGAAACTTGCAGATGGCTGAGTGGTTGGCGTTCGAGGCAATGGGTAATTCTTTAGGCCAGTTCAATGTGGCTGATTCTTTTTCGACGACCTGGAGTTCTAGTTGTCAGTTCCACACAAACCACCTTACAGGGTATAGGAGGATCCTAATGCCTGGCTGACCACGGTACCTTGCAATTCAGACCCTTCATCCGCTCAGTCTCATAGAAGCTTCTGACTTCAAACTCTTCCCCGCGGGCTGCGAAAGACTCTGATACACTTTTAAGAAACTTTGAATCGACTTTCGGGTTGCTCGATAATTTGCTATTGGTCGCGTATCCAAGTGTAGTAGCTTTGGCAATGCGAGTGCCGATTTCGTCCCACGTAGCTAGGCTCGAGCCGCGATGCGGGGTGCCGAAGAAAACCACACCGCGAATACGGTCCAAGATACAGGGGTAGTGGCGATCTTGCACATGGGCCATGATTACGGCCTGACTCTCTGTCAGCAAGAATTTTCTCGTGGCTTCGCAAAGCAGCGAAATCCTGCGGAAGATTGCAGAGGAAATGTGAAAAGAGGATAAGGCAGGAAGAAAGGGCCGGAACAGAGGGCACTGCGCGTACCTGTTTGAAAACCAGACCCCCAAGACTATGGCAAATGAAGACAATGGGGCGTTGTCCGTCCATGTCTCTTCGCGATGACCGTTAAGCCCGTGAATGGCCACAATGTCCACGCAGCCTGTCTTGTCCGGTGGTTGCGGGACTAGGATCTTGATGCCGTGAGGAGATGCATTTGGTTTCCTTGTAGCGGTACGTGCAATAGATTTACCCGTCTTTCGTGAGGAGGTCATTTCTTCCCTTGCAGGCGCATCCAGATTGCCATAGAATTTGTCCTCTGCTGTTCCTGCGGTGTCCTTGGAAGATGGGCTATCATTCCGAAAGTCGGTGCCAGCATCTGAGCGACAGTCGCTGTTTTCAGAAGACTTGGTGGACTTGAGGAACGCGGATACTAGCGATTTGATGCTCACGATTGAGAAGGCAGAACAAGAGGCAAGGACATGCAGCACTGGAGGAGCCTCGTCCTGAGGGTGAGTAAGAAAATGTGATCAGGCTATAGTTTCGCGTCGGACGAGAAATCAGTAAATTGCCAGCTTGGGATCGCAGTCATGTCATTACACCAGCCTACGTATTGCATGAACAAATACGGTCAAGAGCCGGCCGAACCTCTTGCCTGCTGCGGCAGTTGCCTCAATGTACCTTAAGGTGCCAATGGGAATAAGGTAAGCCCAAGCAAATTGTGCAGGCAGGCGCTTACCCTGTCACTCCTGCAGATGCGGCAAGTCCAACCTTCCAATCAGAGCTTAGAGACACACTGAAGATTAGGTATGTTTTGTAGAGGTACTGGATGTCAGCGGATAGAGTGAGCGGTATCTCGGTCTGAGTGCATGGAGGATGGCTGAGTCGAAACTCATAGTTGCGAATCGATGGCCGGGAGGTTATTATCGATACTGAATTGGGTATACACAGCCCAATGAATCAATGCGAAAGCCGATTATAACAACTCTGATCAGAAGACCTTAGCAATTTACAATGATAAATCTGAAGAAAACCGACTTGAAGTGCCACATGACAGCGATGTCCTCATTTATGTGCCTAAGGTGGCCAAAAGCCGCTACCTATAATCGTGTTCGTTCCTCGTTATCCCTAGATGCTCTATCAATGGCATGTCAAGCATGAGCCAGCCTTCTGATCAACCCAACGCCGGATGCCCAGTTCTTATCCAAGTTACGCCATGCATCCAATGCTATCGAACCGGTATTGCAATGAAGATCAAGAAAAAAGGGGTATTTCATCAAACCGCAAAACCAAGTTGATCTCTCTCATCGTCCACAAGCCGTCCCCATTCCAGCAGTAGCCGGAACATATAAATACGCATGTCCTCTCTCCGGAGCGCTTTGCGGCTCCACGCCCTGCCTTCTTCCGCAATGGCCTCTGCTCGCCTCTTGCCTTCCGTGTCAATTCCAAAGTACGAAAGGAGATCCCACAGCTCGTGGAGTCGCACATCGACCGGGACGTAGTGACGCCACGCGTGGACCCTCTCATTGAACCAAGTCCGGAAGAGGCCGGAGCGGTATACGAGACTCTTGCTGCGGAGGAAGGGGATGAAGCGCCCGCTGAATCCCGCGCCGTCGAGGTCCATCAGGTGTGCGTACTTCCAATGGTCAGTGAAGGGGACCTGGGACTTGTCGGGCGAGTCCTGGCCGATGCCCCAGAAGGTATCCTTTTCGCTTTGGCAGTCCTCTCGGTGACACTTGGTCCATCTGCTCACGAAGCCAACATCAACATTTGGCAGATCATCCGGTCCCAACACCAGCGTCCGACCATCCTGTTGGAGTTTGGTGACCCTCATCATCGAATTTGCAGCCTGGACAAACCGAGCCCTGAGGAAACCCTGCCACGAGCCCCAGGCTGCATACCCATCCGACGATGACCCCCTCCAGAACATGGTATTCTTCTTCTTGCTCCATTCCATGTCCTCGTTCTCATCATACGCAGCCTTGTCATCATAGTTCCAAGGCGAAGGCACCAATATATCGGCAAATCCTGACGTCCTGCTTTGACTGAATACGGGAAACGCATCTCTGGTGAAAAGGGCCGGCGCCGGAGACAATAGAAATCCATGAAGGTACGCCAAGTCCGGCTGGTGGCAGAGGTCTGTAGCTGAGGTCCAGTTCGACACAACGGGGTTCTCGAGCGCCTCAAAGACGCGGATAGCATGCGGCAGGAGACATCCACGGCACGCCTCTTTGCGGCTCCACCATCTCGTGTTCCGGGCGGCCGAGTCAGGCGGACAGGTTGGAGCAACAAAGTCGTAGTAGTTTTGATCTCGGATGCGGTCTTCGAAGAAGGGGGACCGCTGCTCAGGTCCCTTAACAGCATCGTCGTCACCCCAGACTGCTGACTTGGATCTGTCAAATGTCTTTCGGCCCTTCGAATTAAGGAGCTTCGTTCTCGATTCCAAGCCAACGCTGTGAAGCCCAGACATGTCTTCGAAAGGGATCGCCACGCGAGGCTCATCGTTCAGGTTGATGGCAAAGTCCATGTCGGGGAGATGCTCGGCAAAATCCTCAATCATGTTCTTCATAGAGGTCATCATCCACATGTGGGATCCAGGCGTACCGGGAGCCACGTTGACTTTCCCCCCACGAATCCGAATGCCTCCAATGCCAAGCCAGGGGATCTCCAAGGAATGCTTGGTACGATCGCGTAGGACCTTCGGCTCAACGCCCCAAAACGGGAGTAAATCGTCGTTTATCTGGCTGAAGTCGTCGATGATGGGCGAACCGTTGGCGACAGCGTACTCATACCATTTATCAAAGTTGGGAGGCGGCGCCACGCCATAACGCTGTTGATATTCGTTCGCCGCGACCTCGAGGGTGGAGCTCTGATTCGCTCTCGCGATCCAGGTGTCGGATTTGGTATTGGCCGCAGAGAGAAGATCGGGGAAGGATAGAGTATCGGTGGAGTTAAGGTCCGGGTAGAAGATGAGGTAGGTTCCACAGAGGACGCCAACGAGGACGACGTACCACATCAAGAGAAACCTAATGAGCCGTGGATCTCCCGGCGAAGATCCAGAGGCGCTGGCGATGTCCTTCTCGTACCGCAAAAGGAGGCCGACGCCGACTATCGTAAGACCACTAGCTATCATGTAGGGCCAAGAGCCGTCCATGGGTAGCGCGGCCTGCAGCATGCGGACGAGCTGATGGGCATAAACGCCTGAAGCAGTGACAATCATGCCCAACGTGCTAGGATGCATGTCACTCATGACATAAAATCCCAAAATCAGCCCCAGTGACGCCACTGTGCTATCCATCAGTAGATCTCTGATTTCGACAAAGTGAAGTCCAAACGCCCAACGGGTGTTTCGAGCGTTATGGAGGGAGAAACAGGCAAGCAAAGTCAGAACACCTGCGGAGCCTAGAAAGAGTCTTGACACGAATCCCCAAGCCTGCGGTGCATCATCCACAGTGTCCTGCCGCCATTTCGACAGGTAAAACAGCAGCAGTGCATCCAAAATGACAGTAACGACCTGGGCTATGGGGATTTGTCTCTCCCACCGAAGAAAGCCTGCGGGACATATTGCGCCGGCCGACTGTGTTGATAGGGCGAGAGTGGCCCTCGTGGCGCAGGCCCAAGCGATGGCGATGACGAAGTAGCGCAAGTGAGCAAAATTGCAGCAGCGTCGAGATCGAGCTTGGTCGCCATTGTGTTGTTGGAGTCGTATGGTGGAGGGAGAAAACGTTGTGTAAAGGACGACAAGAGCTGGGAGGAATACCTGTGCGCGGCGTGTTAGTTCTTCACGGCCATGGGAATTCTTCAGCTTTGCGACAGCTCTCGGTCTACGAACCTCGAAGCTCTCCCAAGAGCAGTGGATGGTGCGGATGGTGCGCCAAAAGAGCAGTGATCGCAGTACGATAGCGCATCCTAGGAAGAAATAGGGCGACAACAAGAACCGAGGGTTGCGCGCGACATCGATGCCGGCTTGGAATCGTCTTTGCCAGTCATTTTTCGAGGTTGAAAAGGTTGCCAGTTGATACCCGCTGCTGCTTGAACTTTTCCAGGGCGAGATCTGTCTGCACCATATCGTAATAAGTAGACCGGGCTCGAGGAGCGTCAGGATAGAGAAGTGTATTGGCCGCTCTGCTTGGTGTTAGAAATTGTCGTTTATGCAATGGTTGTGTCGCAATCTGTAAAGAAGGCAAGGTAGAGAGTCCGTGGGTTTACTGACCAAAAGCAGCGCTGCTGTTAAACCGTGAGGATATCCATGCTGTGCATGCAAGTAGTAGAATACTGGGAACAGAGTCAATGTCAGCAAATGTCACTGGCTAAGATCCAAATACGATTGGGCGAGACATGGGAGAAATTGTGTCAAAAAGCTGCAGGTTTTGAGACTTTTTCTGAT